TATATTATATTTATTTTTATTTATAATTATTAAATAATATAATATATAATTAAAAAACTTATATTATTTTTAATTTTAATAAAAGTTTATTTACTTTAAATAATATATTTTATTATTATATATTAAAGATATAATAATAATACTATTAAGTAAATATTAATTAATTATTTCTATAAGTTTAAAATAAATTTTAAATTTAATTATTTTAATATTAATTTATAATTTTTATATATAATAAATAATTATAATTATTTTTATAATATAAGTTTTAATACTTTTAATTATTATAAAATTAATATTTATATATTTAATAATAATAAATATAATAAAATAAATCTTAATAATATTATATAAATTATTTATATATTATTTATAAAATATTTTATAAAATTTATAATAAAATATTAATAATATATAATAAATTATAATTTATTAACTTTTAAATTTAATTATAATTAAATAAAAAATAAATTAATTATAATATAAATATAAAATAATTTTAAAATATTTAAAATATATAAAAGTTTTAATTAAATTATAAATAATATAATATTTTATATTATAATTTTATAAATAAATAATTAAAGATAATTAATAAAATATATTAAATTTTTATATAATAATTTAATATTATTATTTATTTTATATTTAAAATTATTATTTATTTTATTTAAATAAATTTTTTTTAATTTTATTTTTATAATAATATTATAAGTTTAATTATATTATAATATTTTAAAATTAAACTTTTTTATTATTCTTTACTTTAATATAAAAGTAATATAATTATATAATAATAATAAATAAATAATATTTATAACTTTATTTTTAATAAAATATTTAAATAAAAGAAAAATATTAAATAAAGTAATATAATTTTATTATATAAATAAAATATTAATAATTAAATTATTTTAAAATAAAAAAATTTTATTTTTATTATTATATTAAATATTTTAAAATTAAATTAAATTATATTTAAAGAATAATTAATAATAATTATTAAAAAATAAAAATTATTATTTATAAGTCTTTTATTTTTAATTATTTATTTTTAATTTTATTTTTAATTATTTATTTTAATTATTTATTTTTAATTTTTATTTTTAATTATTTAATTTTAATTTTTATTTTTAATAATTATTTTTAAAAGTTTTTATATTATATTTATAATAATATAAAAATATTAAATTAAATAAACTTTTATATATTTATTTAATATATATAAATATTAATTTATATTATTATATATTTATTAATATATTTTTATTTTACTTTTATTAAAAAATATTAAATTCTTAAAAAAAATTTAATTATAAATATATATAATATATATATTATTATATATTTAATATAATATTTAATAAAGTAAATTAAATAAATATTACTATTAATTTTAAAAGAGTATATAACTTAACTATATTATATATTAATATTAAATCTTTAAGTTATTATAATTTTACTATAAGTTTATATAGTATGCTAGTAGGTAGAGTAGGCTATGGAAGTACCTCCGTTGGTATGATAAGAGGGCCGTAAAATGGCGCGATTTCCGGGTTAAGGTTTGTGAAATGTATGTTGGGTGGCACTGTGCCCGTTTTCACAGCTAGCATGGCTTTCATGACGCCTGCAAGTCTAGCAGTGCCTTCGGTATGGCCGACAACGGTCTTCACGCTTCCGACATAAAGTTTTTCGAGATCCTGCGCATCGAGGTCTTTTCCGAAGAAGGCGTCATAGATCGCTCGAGCCTCAATTGGATCACCGGCTTTGGTACCTTGATGCACCACAGGTTAGTTGCAAGCAGAAGATCAGAGACATGTTGACTCACCCGTGCCATGAGCTTCGAAAAATTGAGGCCTGTTATGTGGTCTGCTAAGGTCGAGCCCAGCCTTGGCATAAGTGTCGCGGATCAGTTGACTCTGCGCGGTAGAGCTTGGGAGAGTGATGCCTTTCGTGCGACCGTCTTGATTGGTCTGAGTTCCGTGGATGATACAATCAATCTCATCGCCGTCCCTGATGGCGTCATTAAAGCGCTTGAGTACCACTCCCACAAACCCTTCACCACGCCCATATCCATCTACATTAGCATCCCACATGGCTGATCTTCCTTTAGAAGACAGTATATTAAGTTTGCTTTCTCCGATGTAAATCTCTATATAACGTGTATTGAAATTAGTAGGAATTCTATAAATAGGTTAAACACTTTACTGACTAGGGCCTAGGATTAAGTTGCCCCCGGCAGCCACAGCAACGTCGGAATCTCCAGATTGAAGAACCTGAACTGCATGGTGCAATGCTAGCATACTTGACGAACAGGCAGTGTTAATAGTCATTGATGGCCCACGCCAGTTAAAGGTATACGAGACACGGTTCGCAATGATCGATCGAGATGTTCCGGTACTGAAATACGTTGGCAGGTTGTCGATGTCGCGTAACAGTAGTTCTCTGTAGTCTGCGGCCATAATCCCAACATAGAATGCTGTATTTAAGCCTTTTAACTTTTCTAGGGGTATACCTAGCCACACTCGGAGTTAGTGTTTCCTCTTTTAAGCATGTCTGAACTCTAAGAGTTACTTACCGGCATCTTCAGTAGCCTCGTAGACAGTCTCCAGAATCAAGCGCTGCAAGGGGGTCCATAGACTCTGCTTCAACAGGCTTAATACCAAAAAAGCCTGGGTCGAAGAGGCGGAAATCTTCTTCCAACAGATAGGAGTGCCTCACATTCGTTGCTCCGTGGTGATGCCCATCTTGGTGGTAAAAGCCGTCAGCATTGAAACGGTCTATCTTCTTCAGGAGGTCCCGGGGCTTCTTTAGAAGCTCCCACAGCTTGGAAGGCGAATTGGAGCTTCCCGGTAAGCGACAGCCGCTACCAATGATGGCAATTGGCTCCTTTGCAGCGGCCATTGTACGAAATTAGGCACTCGGAGGAAAAGATGCTGATACTTTTCAAAGGTCACACTGCTTTACTGTAAAACACGCAGCGTAGGTGAACAGCCCTTTCCATAATCTCCTTAGCTATGCTCGATAAATATGGTGCTGTTGAGGGAAACGCTGACTGAGTTCGGTGTTCAGTATCGGTGTCATTCGGATTCTTCCCTCTCTATCAGTCAACTTAGTTCGAAAGCCCGGTGGAAGGATCCAACACCGCCCGCCCGCCCGTTTATTGGAAAGGTTCGACTGCATGGGAAGGAATGCAGGGCCCAGGAACAATTTTACTCGCCCAGTGGGTATAGAATCCCTAACCCTATGATTATTGTACTTGGACGGTATCTTCCTTCCGTTTTAGTCGACGGCTAAGAGAAATCCTTATTAGTCATAAAATTAAAGATAGGACCATTATTGCAAGATCATTTTCCATGACTGTTATCCTATAAGAGGTACCTAAAGCTAAGTGTTCACCGGTAAGCATAGATGCACGTTGGGCGATCCTTTATATGCGCAGGTGGTGCTACACCCGGGTCTAGGCCGTAGTTTTTCCGGAGGCCCTAGAAGTAGCTACCTCGGAAAAAGAAGACTTAGGCACCTTTTATTTTATTACTTTTACTTATAATTAAATTTAAAATAAAGGATTAATATAAAATATATATTTTTTTAATATTATAATAATATTAATTTTATATTAAAATAAGAAAGAGAAAGTAATAATAATTAATTTTTAATTATTAAAAAAAATTAAAGTTTTTTTTAAAGAAATATTTATTATATAAATAGTTTATAATTTATAAATAATTTAAATTATTAATTAATATTTATAATAAATATTTATTTAATATTAAATATTTATTTAATATTAAATATTATTATTATAATAATAATATTTATTTAATTAATAATTAAAATTCTTTTATATTTAATTTATTTTAAAAATTATTTTTATTTTATATAATTATAAACTTTATTATTAATAATTATTTTTATTTATATATAATTAAAGTTTTAAAATAATAAATATAAATAATAAAATATATTCTTTTATTTAAATATTATAATTTTATTTTATATTTTAATTAAATAAATATTTTAATATTAATTATCTTTTAAATTTTTAATAATATTAATAATATTATTTATAAAAGTTTTTATAAAAATATTAATTTTTAATAATTATTCTTAATATTACTTTATATTATTTTATTATACTTTTAAACGTATTTTTATATATATTATATATATTATATATATTATATATATATATATATTATATATATTATATATATTATATATATTATATATATTATATATATTATATATATTATATAAGTTATATAAGTATCTCGAGTTATAGTTTTACTTAATCGACACTTTAATACCGTGCTATTAAACTACTTTATATCGCTTTATATAACCTCGCGGCGTAATATAATTAATTTTAAAGAGTATAACTTAATATAATTATATATAATTAAGTTCGACTTAATTTAATTAAGTATAATTAAGTATAAATAAAAATAATTAAATTTAATTATAAATATTAATTATTAATATAATTAAAGTTATTAAAATAAAAAATTTATATAACTTTATATTATTAAATATATATTTTAAAAATAATTTAAATAATATAATAATATTATTATATATTATTTAAATTAATTAATTAAAATAATATATTATATTAATTTATAAATATTTAATATTAAAATTTAATAAAAAAATAAAGTAAAGTTTTATTAAATAAATAAAGTTAAAATAAATATATAATAATTATATATATAAATTATATTTATATTAATTTTATTAAATATATTAAAAAGTATTATTTTTATTAATATTTATAATATTTATTTTAATAAAAATATTATAATTTATATTTCTTTTATTTATTTTTATAATAGTTATAAATAATAATAATAAAATTAGAAGGGGGGGGGGATAAATATTATTTTTCCGAGATAGCGACTATAGGGAATCAAATCATTTATGTAGGCTCGCTCCTCCATGCTGACTGTCCGCTGCATGGCAAGAGCATGGTTCTCCTTCCTTTTGCTGCTTCCAAGTTTGGCGATTTTCCCTGAAATACGGCCCTGACAGCTGTTGTAACATCGGTGTATGATGGCCTGTGCCCCTTATCGGCTTCTCCTGACCCTGTGAATGAAGAGACGATGGCGACGGGCACTTTCTCCTTCGCGCTTGAGGACATGGTCGGCTTCAGCAACCCCGGCGACCATGCGAAAAGGCAGCAAAAGCAGCTCGCATGTGCGAGATGCCACTCGCAAAAGCTTAAATGCGTGCGCCAGCAATCTGATGCCTCGGCCTGTGACCGATGCCTCGGCGCAAACACCGAGTGCACTGCACGACATCCTCAGCGCATGGGGAGGCCAGTAGACGCAGCACTGCTGAACAGCAGCCCCTCAACATTTTGCACCACGAAAGAAAATGCCACACCTCAGCACAAGAAGCGAAGAGCCACGGAACAGAGTCTAGACCAGTACATCGAATGTCTGCCAGAAGGAACTCTATCTCCACTGCCGACACCTATGAGCGACTTCAATCAGTGGAGATGGCCAACCCCAGATGAAGTCATTGATCACAGCTCCAACTCCAGCTCAGTACAGCCGGGCACTGCCTCGTTACCTTACGGAGGACCGGTCGTCAGTTTGGCCGGTTTCACATCATTGATGCCGAATTTCGACGACCTCCCAATGCTCACCGGGCATGATGCCCAAGGATGGGAGGGGTCCGGCGCTGCGTCGGACCAACCTACATCCACGACTGCATCGAACCTCATTGATCAACTGAGCGCATTACAGTTGCATCTATCACGCTGCTTGAACCAGATGAGATCGATCGAGAGGCAGAAGAGGCCGGGTCGCCATCCGAAGTCCGAGGACATGCCCACCGACACGACGAGCTGGATGCAGGATGCATTTCAATCTTCCGAGACTTTCATGAGGATCCTGAAGCACCCGAACCTCTCCAATGAGTTTGGAAATGCCGCAAGTGACTCGTCAGTCCCCGGTGATAGCAGCCGGGGTGGGTTTGACGCCGCTGATATCGCGACCGGTCTGACAATCATCAGCTGCTATACCCGGCTGCTGCAAGTGTTCGAAGTTTTCATCGCCCTGCTAGTGATTTACCGGGGGTCCGAATGTGCAATGAAGGACTTCAAGATCTGCTTCGGTACATTCTCGCCTACACACGACAAGACCTTGCAGATTCGTCTTGTGGCACAGTATATCCTGCATCTCTGTGAAGGCATGGCACAGGTCGTGAAGCAATGTGTTCCAACGCAACCTGTATTCGCCAAAGCTCTCGCTGACGGCCAGAGCACCGAAGCACGCCTCAAGGGACAGCTTGAGGAACAGCTCTTGATGGCACCGATATAGGTAGATTTGCGCAAGTTGTAGATACGGGCTAGAGGACTTGTCTGAGGGCCCTTTTCTTTTGAGACCACTTGAGTTAGCAAGTATTAAAGAATATTAACAAATAATATCGCTACTGCTACTGCGCACTAGCTGGTGCAAATCCATGACCAACATCCGTAGTATGACCTGTGCTGTGGACTTGACCCGATCAACCGCGCCGATTCATGCCGTCGGACCGATTGGTTTCCTGGAAGATCGTGATACTCGGCCCCTCGGTCTGATCCCTGTTTGGGAGAGCCCGAAAGCGAGTACCACATCTGGCAATATTTGTCCGAACCTGCCTTGTCCCATAACAAGACTAGGAACCTACAACTTTTACCATTCCAACTCAGGAGTCAAGTCATTTGGTAGCACGAGGCTTCTCTCAACATGCGTCCAAGTTTACGGGAATTGGCCTGCTCCTTGGCTTTCTCTATGCTTACCGCAGGCCAACATCTGCTCTTCCAAGGGACATCTGTTGTCATACTCCCAGACTCGGATACCGCATCGCCACGCAACAGCACCTTCATCACATCTAATTTCTTCTCATACGCTGCTCCAGAGGGGTATCTGAGCTACGGATGGTACGTAAACGGACGCTGAACGAGCTCACTACTTTGACGATTTCGGCAACTGATTGTCGCCCGACGTTCACTGCAGGTGGCTGCCGGCTAAGCTCAGCAGCAATACGTCTCATTGCCAACCCGATTCGCAGCGGTTCCACTGGGTCGAGTTCGGAAATGGAGCCTGCGACTATGCGGCTGAGGAGTGCGTCTACGACGTGGTCAACTTCCCTCACCGCACGCCGCACCACGTCCGCCCCCCTGCGGCGCCGAAGGGCACAGTGCAGTACCATGTCTTCCCTCTGCACATAAGCGACGGTCCCATGGGGCAGATGGCGGTTAGCTATGTGGATTCCGAGAATTTGAAAGCTTTCGGAGTGGGAACTCGGGAGATTTTGTCGGATACTCCCGGTCAGATGGACAACTGTCGGAAGGCCTTGAATACCATGCATCGAGTTGTCGAAGAATCCAGTCCTAGTCTAGGATTCGAGCTGCGGGACATTTGTGGACGCGAAACAAGAGCTCAGATATCTGATGAAGGGCAGAAGGTATTAGACCTATAATTATTCTAGGCTGCATGATGATTCTACTCTAAAACCTGCCGATTGATAGTGCGTATAGACGGGACTCACGCCCTTTGTTGTCCAGTTCTATTCATATATAATATTAGGCTGGAATATTAACTGGCTTAATTAGCGTTATTATTTAGAGCATGGTAAGGCTAGGTGCTAGTTTTTGTGGTAGATCTAATAAGAGAGATAGAGAGAAACATCTAATATCTTGTATAAAATCAATAATTTTACATTTCAGTCATGTATGTCCTCGGACGTATACGGAATAGAAACGAAGACACTGATGTCAAAAGGGAATTGAATCGTGGAAGGGTTGGGAATCAGATCGGAGAAGGGCAGGAGCAATTGGATCGGGGAATGGATTAAACCGGCGGGGGAAATTCAATCGGAAAGAGATTGAGCCAGAAGGGGGATTCGATCGGAAAAGGTGTTGGATCGGAATTCCTATAGCCGAGCCTCATTATCGGCAACATAAACGGCCGAACGCTGCAGGAAAGTCGGATGTGGCCCATTTGGGACAACGAAGGAACCGCAGTGCCCCGGACAAGACTAACCTTGGAATCTAACTACATGAATGATCCTTTGCACACTGTTCAAGATTTGAAGCGTCATGAACTTATGATACAATCGAAAGTAAACTGAAGCTATTTTTTAAATGTAGAAACGCTCATTTTGCAATAACGGCGTCTCACCAGGGAAAGCACTCTTTAGGCGGCTGTATCAGATCATGGACGAGACCTCACCACTGCTACAGGCGGTCAAGTCGCCTGCACTTAACGCGCAACCTAATCACAGTATCGATGAAGTCAGTTGGGCTCAATCTACAGCGTTGCGTCCAGGAGACCCCCCGGTAAATGCTGCCTGCGAGTCTAGGGAAGCCTCCGTGGCACTACACGATAGCATTGGCACTGCAGAAGCACGGCAAAGATTGGGGTTCATCTTCCCGGCACTTGCAATTGGTGTATGTCACTCATTCAACAGATTTGTGTCTCTGGCTGTCAGAATGCATTGCTCACGAGCGCTTAGATCTTTCTCTCCGCCGCGGACCAGACTCTTGTGGTATCAAGCTGTGGGCGAATCGGTAGCGACTTGAATGGGTTGGAGAAGGTATCATGGCTAGCTACATCGTAGGTGGCTGTTCTTGCGTACCGTCTTCATGGCCCTCTCCAATGATTGGAGACTTACTCTGCCAAGGTACCTCATGTCCACGACTGCATTTCAGCCCCTTTATGGGAAGCTGAGTGACATTCTCGGCCGCAAAACCTGTCTTCTCTTTGCATACACAGTATTTGGCCTCGGAACATGCGTGTGTGGCCTAGCTCCGAACATGAACGGACTGATTGCTGCCCGGGTAGGTGTGGTTGTCGGAGAAGAAGTTGAAAGAAACTGACCCTGGTTCAGGCGCTAACCGGCGTTGGGTCGGGAGGCATCACGACTATGGTGTCTATCGTACTGAACAATCTTGTCTCGATTGAAGATAGGGGGCTATGGCAGGGTTTTGTAAATCTTGTCTGGGCATGCGGTGCAGGGATCGGTGCACCTTTAGGTAAAGTGCCCAATCGACGTGAAGAGCTAGCAGACGTGTTAACACTTCATCACAGGCGGAATCTTGACCGACAAAATCGGGTGGAGATGGTATGTAAACAGCTTCTCGCGACGGCATGAGTTGAAGACTTCTGAAAACAATTACTAACATGGATCTGCAGGGCATTCATCGGCCAGGCACCCCTTTGCGCAGTCTCTGTCATCACTGTAGCCGTCATGCTGCGGGAAACCATGGAGCTTTCAGATGATAGCCGGCGTACTAGACTGGCGCGTATTGATTTTCCAGGATCCATCACATTAGTCTCGGGCCTAGCTTCACTCCTACTCTTTTTCGACTGCCTCACCTCGTCGGAGCCTCGCGACAATATGCTCTACCTCTGGGCAAGCACGACAGTCCTGTCGTTCGCGGGATTTCTTATCATCGAGCTCCGTTTCGCACGGGACCCGTTAATTCCATGGCGCCTGTTCTTCGGCGTTGAACTTTTACCCGCGTACCTGTGTAACATGCTGGGGAACATGTCATGGTTTGGCGTCATGTTTTATTTACCGCTGTTGTACCAAGCCGTGGTACGCCTGAACATCATGGTTGCGAGTCTCCTGCTGCTCCCTGGCATCATAGCTAGCATTTTGGGTGGGCTGGGAAGCGGTCTGGCCATGAAATACTGGGCCAGGGTCAACTACTTCCACCTCACCATTGGCTCGTACATCCTGACCATGATAGGATGCATACTTGTCGCGACACTGGCAGGAAACTCGGGGTTGATTGGCCCTGGAAATCACAATGTGATACTTGCCGGCCTGAGCCTCGCTTTGGTAGTCGGAGGTCTTGGAAACGGTGGTGGAATGACATCATCTCTCGTTGCGGTTATCGCAAGAGCCAAAGAAGAAGACCAAGCCATTGCGACGGCCAACTCTTTTCTTTATCGCTCTCTTGGAGCCTCCATGGGCCTCGCCATCATGACTGTTGTGTTCCAGCGGGTGTTGGGTCACGATCTGATATCGCGTTGTGGTATGGACGGAGACCCATCAGTGGATCCCCAGGAAATTCTCGACGGAATCCGTACATCGTTGGAATACTTGGCTGAGCTTCCGGCAGAGGTGCGCGCATTAGCGACAATGTCTTATGCCCTGGCCTGTCAGTCGGTGTTCATTCTATGTGCGGCACTCGCTCTGAGTGCTGCAATAACTGCTACGTTTTTGAGAAAGAACAAGTTGATGAAGGGGGGTGATGAGACCACACCTTAGTGTAATAAATCCAATGGACCGGGGGTTGAAACTCATCTGGTGGTGTATCTATGAGTATCCAAATCAAACGCGGTAAAGCATCTACGTATCTCAATACTTTTCAAGAGAGTTCAGCCCGTTTATAGGTAGAGAGTAGATCAATAACAGACACCGACTTGGTATAATCAATCTGATGGGAGACCTTTCTGCTTGCTGATTTGCCCTTTCCGAATATATTTCGTCCTCTAGTCTGTTGTTTTATGAGAATCTCAAGTGTACTTACTTACTAAACAACCAACTCTTCGGGTCTATGTCATATCTCGATGGATTGATGTGGTCTAAGACAGCCACGCTTGCACTTCACGACTAATTAAAGTAATTTCACTGCATCATCTTGATGCACCGACTTCATTCAACCACGGGTCAAGAAGCTAATCTTTCGCATAAAGACTGGCAGTGCTTAAATATTATAACCCTGGAATACACTACTGAACACTATAAACAAGTTTCTGTCCCGAGACCGCCTTCTTTCTTAGCAATTCAATTCCCTGCATAACACCGTCAAACCCCCCAACGCCGACTTGCAACGGGTGCGTCTGGAGTCGACCTCCATCCAGCAGTCCCTGCAGAGTCTGAAACCAAGCAACGCCCCATTCACGATCCTGCGGTCGCTCCTCGCGTCCGAAAGCGCCATCCAAAGCGACCTTTTTCCCAAATATACTCAGCCCCATTACCCAATCCGGTTTGACTGCTTTCCGAGTATTCTGTCTCTCTGGGTATGGTTCCAGGCCGCAGTACTTTCCTCCTGCGCGCCCGATCGCACCATAACAGATCGCCATTGTGCTCGCCTCGGTAATGCAGTCTAACGCGTAGAAGAACGTATTGACGGTATAAGCCCGCACGTCTTCCGCACAGGTCGGAGAGTTGTAGTCAAATGTGACTTCAGCTCCATACGACTTGACGAGATCGAAGTTGTGTGGTGAACAAATAGCTACCGGACGCAGATTGGCACTGGATCATTAGCGTGAACGTCAGTAAATTGGTGATACTTTCTTTGATTTGGTAACGCTAACAGCTTCAATAGTTGGATCGCCATAGTACCAGTCGCCGTGCTCGCTCCATAGACGATTACGAAGAAAGGCTTGGCAGCTGGTTTGGCCGGGTTGTCGAGAATTCCGAGATAATGAAACAGTGCCATGCCGGCGGTGGCAACACCCGTACCGAGGGAAGCAGCCGCTTCGTAAGACATGCCGTCTGGAATATTGAGCAGGAACTCTGGCTCAGCACCGATGTACTGGGCAAAAGCCCCTGCTTTCGGATTCAGAGCGTTCATGCCGTGGACCATGCCGCAGACTCGGTCGCCGACCAGTAGGTCTGGCCTGGTCACTTCGGCACCAATAGCGACTATCTCCCCAGCAAAATCATATCCGTTGATGGCACCCGGTGTTGGAGAGTAGTCTACCATTTTCGCGTCTGCTGGATTGAGAGCCACCGCAACTGTCCGTACGATGACCATCTTCGGGCCGAGCTTCGGTACTGGCTGATCATTTGAGATGGCCAGCGCTCCCGGTCCCGTAGCCACGATAGCTGTTTGCTTGGTTGGTAAAGCTGGCGCGGCTGAAGGCATAGTGGAAATAGGCAATTCGATCAGGAACGGTGTTTGTACCTATGTAAAAGGCAATGTGCGTAACGTCAACCCTACGCTGCGTGGGCCTGTTCTTCCCATAGTCATATACGAGGCATCAGACTCAGATTCGCGCAATCAGATTGACACGGCCGTCTTGAATGGGGCCAGTACCGAGTCGATCACCGAGCATGCCTCCCACCTAGTGAGATCTCACGGTACCTGAGCCCCTGTTCTTCGGACCCGACGCGAAGGGTCCGTCCCGCCGTAAGATGCGTAAACGCGTGCAATCTGTCCGACCCGGACACATCCATTTTAGGCAATAAGTCACCGAATTGGTCCGCGCAAAGTTTGCCGTCCAATAGGGTCAACCACGAGCAGGCCGTACGGTGATCGGCAAGAGATTCAAGCCGACGAAGCAATCTCGAATGATCAAATCCTGCGGATGCTACCGTTGCGTCTTTTCATTGCCATCACCTGCGGTTGATTGATGCTCCGCCAATTTGACCCTATCCCTCTCTACGGGCGATATATCGTCGACTTTGACGACTACCAGGCTTGCTCTCGCTCTTCATCCACCTAATCCTTAACGCCTCGATCAATTGCGTTTCCATCCAGGACTTGATTACCTGACGAGCCGTCCCAGCAACGTTGCTCGTTCCCCAGATGTCATCAGGTTCATTCAGTACCGATGCGCCGGCATCAATCTCAACGCCGCCAAAGATGAGCCACCCCGAGTCGGAAAAGCTGGCGGAAGAGAACCCCAAGGATGAAGTTCAGGATGTGCCACAGCCGACACGAAGCAAGTTGACGACCGGCCTCATCATGTTTGCTCTGTGCTTGGCCGTCTTCCTTGCTGCGTTAGACTCGGTCATCATCACCACAGCGCTGCCTACTATAGCTAAAGAGCTCAGTGCTTCTGACACTGGGTTTGCGTGGATCGGGTCTTCATACCTACTAGCGAATGCTGCGTCCTCCCCTGTCTGGGGGAAAGTGAGCGATATTTTCGGTACGGTCCAGCTGCAAAGTGCTTCGTCCAAAAACTCTTGAGATACTAACAGTGGGACTTCCAGGTCGGAAATCGATCCTCATCATTGCCAATATCGTCTTCCTGGCGGGCAGCCTGATCGCCGCCTTGTCCTACAATCTACCCATGCTCATCGGCGGCCGAGTCGTCCAAGGCCTTGGGGGCGGCGGCTTGATCACTCTGGTGGAGATCGCGGTCGGCGACATGTTTAGCCAGCGAGAACGCGGGTTATACTTTGGCATCGTGGGATGCGTCTGGGCAATCGCGTCGGCCATCGGCCCCGTCGTAGGAGGCGCCTTCGCCGAGAAGGTTACCTGGCGGTGGTGTTTCTGGATCAACCTGCCCTTCGACGGCCTGTCACTCATAATCACCATCATTTGGCTCAACGTGCATAATCCGAGAACACCACTGATGAAGGGTATTGCGGCCATCGATTGGATGGGCGCCGTTCTCATCGTCGGCGCTACTTTGATGTTTCTCTTCGGACTTCAGTTTGGTGGCCAGACAGCCCCATGGAACTCGGCCATGGTTATTTGCTTGATCGTGTTTGGGCTTCTTATTTTCGTCACATTCGGCATTTACGAGTGGCGCTTCGCAAGGTATCCAATCATGCCTCGACTGATGTTCAATAGCGTATCGACGGTTGCTTGTCTAGTCGTGGTCTTCTTGCATGGCCTGGGATTCATCGCGCTTCCATTCTTCATCCCTGTTTACTTCCAAGCCGTCTTGGGCGCCGGCCCCGAAGAATCTGGTGTGTGGACGTTAGCACTTGCCCTTGCCCTAGTTTTCGTCGGCATGGGCGTTGGAGTCTTCATCCAGAAGACTGGACGATACCTCGAGGTTATTTGGGTCAGCATGCCGATACTCACGATGTCATTGGGGCTCTTCATCAGTTTTGGTGTTGATATCAACTGGCCCAAGATCATCATCTTTCAGATTCTGGTAGCTGTGGGTGTCGGTGCCAACATGCAGACCCTGATCATATGCATCCAGGCCCTGGTGCCTCAAGAGCATGTCGCGGTCGCCACATCGACTTTGGCTTTCATTCGACAGCTCGCCCTGGCTATCAGTGTGGTGATCGGTTCCGTCATCTTCCAGGGAATTATAGCTTCCCATGAGGACATCCTGGCTGGTATCGGCCTCCCGACCGAGCTTGCGGCGCAAATAGCCTCTGGCAGCTCGATATCGGCAACTGACATGATCCAATCCCTAACCCCCGACCAAGTGGCTACGTACAAATGGGTGGTAGCCGATGCGCTATCCAAGATGTGGGCATTTTACTGTGCCGTGTCTGGACTCGGCTTCATCGTCAGCTTTGGAATTCGGCGGAAGGAACTCCTGACGACACATAAAGAGACAGAGGTCGGATTGGAGGCAGAGGAGGCCAAGAGGCTGAAGGAGTTGTCCGATAGAAAGCCCACAGCTACAGCAGTCGATGGGCAAGAGGTGAAGGAGGCGTAGCCGATTGAGATAGGATGCGAGTTACAGTACTTTAGTACGTAATAGTCTTTTATTTAATAAATAAAGAAATAAAGAAATAAAGAAATAAAAAAATAAAGAAATAAAGAAATAAAGAAATAAAGAAATAAAGAAATAAAGAAATAAAGAAATAAAGAAATAAAGAAATAAAGAAATAAAGAAATAAAGACATAAAGAAATAAAGAATAAAGACATAAAAATAAAAATAAAAATAAAAATAAAAATAAAAATAAAAATAAAAATAAAAATAAAGAAATAAAAATAAAAATAAAAATAATAAATAAATAAATAAATAAATAAATAAATAAATAAATAAATAAATAAATAAATAAATAAATAAATAAATAAATAAATAAATAAATAAATAAATAAATAAATAAATAAATAAATAAATAAATAAATAAATAAATAAATAAATAAATAAATAAATAAATAAATAAATAAATAAATAAATAAATAAATAAATAAATAAATAAATAAATAAATAAATAAATTATTTTAATCTTTTAAAATATTAATATTTAATAAGTTTCTATTTTAATTATTAAGTTTTATATATTATTAAAAATAAATTAAAATTAATATAATTAATTTTAATATATAAAAAAGATTTAAAGATTTATATTAAATAATTATATAAATAATTAATAAAACTTTTAATTATTTATATATATATATATAAATTTATATTATATATTTTATAATAATTTTATTATTAACTTTAAATTATTAATATTAATAATTAATTTTATTTTATTTTAAATATAAATTAAAATTAATATTATTATATTTTAAAATAAATTTTAAATTAATATTATTTTATATAATATTAAAATAATTATATAAATTATTTATATTTTTAAATATTATTATTATATTAAAATAAATACTTAAAGTTTTAAAATAAAATATAATATATTTTTAAAAATTAATTAAATTAAATTTATTATATAAAGTTTTTATAAAACTTTATAATTTATAATATAATATTATAATATAATAAGTATATATTTAACTACTTTTATTAATTTATATATATAAAAGTTTAAGTTTAACTTTTATTAATACTTTTTAATTACTTAAAAATTAACGTTTTATTAAATTTTATTATAATTAACTTTTATAAGTTTTTCTTTAATAAATGAAAGAATATAAGTATTATTATTTATTATAAAATTATAAAGTAATTTAAATACTTTAATTTTTTTAAAAATATTAAAAATAGTTTATTTAAATTTAATAATTATATATAAAGTATAATTTATATATTTAACTTTATATATTTATTTTATACTTTATTTTAATAAAACTTATATTAATATATATAATTTAAAGGATTTAATATTAAAAATAAGTTTAAAATTTATAATTTATTATACTTATAATATTATTTATTATTAAAGAATCTTTTATATTAATATATTAAGTTATATTAATATAAATTAATATAATTAATTTATTAAAAATTTAAATTATTATAAATTATAAATTATTTAATATTAATAGTAAAAATATTATAAATTTAAATTTATTATATAATTTAAATATAAATATAAATTAATTAAAATAAATAGAAATAAACTTATTATTCTTTTAAAGAATATATTTAAATTTAATCTTTATTTAAATTAATATTTATTAAATAAAGTAATCATACTTTATTATTTAATTTTATAATTTTAATAGCTTTATAAAAAAGAAATTACTATTAGTAATTAAATTTCTAACTTTATAAAAGTAAATTTTTATTTAAAAGAAGTTATTTTATTTAAAATAATTAATATATTTTTAAAAAATTAAAAGTATTAATTTAATTTTACTTAAATTAAAATCTAAAAGAATTTTAAATTTAAACTTAAAACTTTTAATTTAAAATTAAATTATTAAAATAAAAATATTTAATAAATTTAAAAAACTTAAATAAAGTTAATAATTAAATTATATTATAATATAATAAAATATTTAAATATAAATTAATTAGAAATTATAATTTTAAATCTTTTAACTTTATATTAAAAAAAGTTTAAATTATTATATATAATAAAAAGTTTTTAATAAATATAACTTTTTAATTATTTATATTATATTCTTACTTATATAAAGTTTAATAATATATATAACTTCTATTTAACGAATTATTATAGATAATATACTTATATATAAACTAAGATTTTATTAATACTAGAGATTAGTAATCCTTTAGGGCCTTAGAGTAGGACGTTAAACAAACTGCCTATCGCAAATTATAGCAGGTCGTCTTTCGTAACATAGAGCATTTCAGTTGGGGAAACAATTGTCCGCCTTCTTTAGTCTCAGGCTCTTTGCCTCAGGTATACCCTAGGGTACCAAAGGCATCAGATCATCCAGCTCTAGATTCTTCGCCTCCACCAGACCACACTCCACTAAGAACAGTAAGCCAAGGACCTCACGTGTCCACGGCGGAAGATCCTAGCTGGGAAGAACATAAGCCTTTCCACGACATTGGCCCTTACAGCCTTCGTTGCTTTGAGCAAAGTCATGGGAGTCACAACATCATCACCGACCTACGGTACAATGCACTCCGGCCAGCTGTACCCTCCAGACTACGAAGATTGTACGAGGCCCTTGGTGGAAGTTTTTGAAAAGTCCAAGGACCGGACCGAGTTCACGGGCGGCTCTCTGACCGTCGTTCGCGGCTGGCCGAGCACCGGCGGCTTCTTCATCCTGAGCTGCGACGGAGTTGAGCTCGAGTTCCTCGGTCTCGACCGCTTCGAGCCGACACCACGGTCCCAGGATCCCGCGGAGGAGGACGCATTCTGCGCTCAGATGCGCAGGCTCGGGCCACGTTGGTACCGTAACCTGGAGGAAGAAGCCTTCGAGAGTCTCGGGAGGGAGTCTCGAACCGACACCGTTCACAAGGCCTTTGGCTGGCCGGCCGATGGGGGCGTTTGGGCCCTGAAGATGCCAGAAATGGACTCTTATTTTAAGGGCATGTCAAGGATCCGAAATGCCTTTAGCATGGCTGAAAGGTGTCGTCAAATTGAGAAGCTGGGCGGTGTATTTTTCAGTGACCCGACCAAATGCGCGGACCTAAAATTGGCATGAAAGCAGCTGCCATTCCCTCCGAGTCTCTAAACTGGAATTAATGGAAATGCAGTCTGTACTACAAGAAACTGGCGCATTCAATACACGACGCCTCCTTGAGCATCTCGTTTCGTGTCTGTAGGCATCATTCGTATTTCTCCGTGTCGGCCTCGCAGAGGCGGGGTGTCTCGCGAAACTGCGCTACTCGTTGGACGTAGTCGGGGCGCAGCACGTAGGTCTCGTCGTCAATTTCGTTGGCGGCGCTTTCATCGGGCGGCGAGGAGTGGTCGGGAGCACTCGGTCACGGGGCGGGCAGGTGCGCCGTGTTGCATTCGGCCGTGGTTTTGAGAGAGCGATGCCGTGGAACCGTGGCGGTCGTGATTGCGCTGTATAATGACTTGGCGGATTTCGCCACGACACGTAGTGGATCGTAGGTGAATTGGCAGAGAGTCGGCTCTGTTTGAAAATCATTGAGTGGTTTTGTTTTTAGTCCCTATACGTGATTTATGTGGCGCCTCCATACAATGGTAACCACCAAAGATTCAGCAGCGAATTCCACGGTGAATAGGGGCTTTAGTTAAACCGGCCTGCAAGCTTTACTCGGCACCTTCCCTATTTAATTAAGTCGGTATTATTTTATATCTAGTAGGGTTTGTCCCAGTTGGATCGGCCCCCACGTTACTTGTCAGCTTAGCTGCGCCTTCACCCTGCTAATTTGGGGGCAGCTGACGGTACTAGCATAAGGAAGAGGTTGCAACCGTGCATACAGGATCCAAGCTAACCAAAACACGATCAGGTCTGGTAACTATTTGAGGGCAACAGTTGCATTCTGGAATCCGAAAATATCTGGGCTGCTAGTTTTCGTTTTTGTTTACTTCTGTGTGGCCCAGGGCTGGTCATAGCCGCGCAAGAAGGTGGCCACCCCTTAATACTACACGGTCTGCGAGAACGAATCTACATTCTGGAAAGAATCCACCTTCTGGAAGGATTCCACATGTCAGAGTTAATGAAAGTATTATGCATAAGTCCAAGTTGCGAAGGAAGCCCAATCGAGCACAGAATTGATTGATCTGGTCTTTAAAGGGCACTATATATCCGTGACGTGTCTGGAATTCTGTGTTTGTTGTTCTTGTAGTCACAAGTATTCTGCTTGTACCGTGTCCCTTCTTGCACTCATTTCAACCTTCTCTAGGCCTTGCAAGTTCTTTCCTCTTCTAATACAGCATTGCATTCTTGCCTTGATCAAGTCCCGCCATGGCTAATATCACTGCTCACCTGCTTACGGCTTTTCGGCAGATAGGGACACTTCCTCCCTACGCAACTGTTCCTCAGGTTCTCATTTATCTCTTCATTACATATCATGTCCTAACGGCTCTCTACAACATAACCTGTCACCCCCTTGCACGAGTCCCAGGTTACAAGCTAGCCGGCATGACTCGACTTTACCAGACCTACTGGTGCTATAGAGAAGGTCGAAGCATATACTATCTCAAAGTCCAGGAGATGCACGAAAAGTTCGGGCCCATCGTGCGAGTCAACCCTAATGAAGTCTCCTTGCGCGATCCTCGGGACTGTGAAAAAGTCTATACAATCAGATCTAAATACACGAAAGACCCACTCTTCTACCGCACAATGGGCGTCTTGAAGGGGATGTTCGGAACCTTTGACAACGAGCTGCATCGAGCTCGACGGCAACCGTGGGTGGCACATTTCTCCAAGTCTGCTGTCGCCGGCCTCGGGGACACCGTAAACGACAAGGTAGCCACGCTTTGCAGAAGGGCCGAGGAGGAGCTAGAAACCACCGGAGTCATGCCTATCCAAGGCCTTCTTCATGCGCTAATGATCGACATTGTGTCCGAATATACATTGCCAAGCTCAATGGACATGCTATCTCACAGGCCGTACGCGACTATATATGCATCAGATCTGCTCAACCAAGCGGGATTCATCTGGATCATGATGATCAACGACTATCTTTATCATGTGGTTCAAGGAATCTTGACGGTTTCCAGCGCAGTCTTTGGTTCAAGAAGCCAGTTCGACAGACTTTTGGAGGTACGGCCCTGCTCTCATATGCGTGGCAGTTGGTCGTTCTCGTTGCATGATGGAATTGCTGATCTTGTTATCCGTCGCACAGAAATGTACTTTAGTTGTTGACGAATATCTTCGCCGCAAACAACACAACTCGATCGAAATAGCTACCGCGAAACCCATCTTTCAATCCGTAATGGGCAACTGCGCTGATGCTCAATCAAAGACGCCTTCCTTAACCAGGGATGTACTGATAGATGAGCTATACAGCTTCAACCTGGCAGCGGCGTTCAACTTCGGAACAAGCATGTCGGTGACATTGTACCACATTCTGTCCAATAAAAAAATCGTCGAACGCCTTCACGCTGAGATCACAGAGGCTTTTCCGTCGCCGTTGGTTCCTATCACCCACGCTGCAGCAGAGAAATTACCATACCTCGTCAGTGCCGCTGCTTCGCTGCCACTCTGTTCAGTCACCCTCTTCTCTCGGATAAAGAAGACACTGACTTTCCAAACAGACGGCATGCTTGCAAGAGGGAAACAGATTGGGCTACGGGCCTATCGGCCGCCTTCCCAGGATCGTGCCATCAGGCGGAGAGACCTTCCAAGGATACCACGTGCCAGCTGGGGTAGGTTTAAAGTCCCACAACTGAGTATCTTCCTCCTCGCAGAAATGCTAACAGGGCTTTCGTCAGTGCACCGTTGGGACGTGGAGCTACGTGCAGCACCACAACGAGGAGATTTGGGGCCCAGACCATGACGACTTCAACCCAGACCGCTGGCTAGATACAGACCGTGCTCGATTCATGAATAAATATCTATTGACGTTCGGGAAGGACTCTCGTAATTGTATTGGAAAGGAGTAAGCTTATGAGTCCCCATTTCCGCAAACCTTGGCTTAGACGCCAATGCGCCTAGTCTTGACTGATTGAGGGAAAACTCACTAGGCTCGCATTATCCACAATGTACGTCTGCCTCGCAACTTTCATACAGAGATTCGCGACCGGTTTGCGGGTCCACGGCGCCTACCCAGTAAATCGTCTGAACGACAACTTCGCTACGGTCATCCCGCCGAACTCGCCGCGGCTTACATTGGAAAGGCATGCAGCTACATAAGGACTGGGCGGGGTGGTTAGTATGCTAATGTGGGAGAAGTTCCACGCATGCCTGTATATTACTTCTTAAATTAGCCCATAGACTATCCAATGCAATCTGATTGTCCCGATCATCGCACATTCCAGTCTACGAGATGATATTGTGTCCTTTGAGCACCTGGCCGTTGCTCTGGGCTAACGACCGTAAGCCTGCAAAGAAAGGAAATTTCGCTGGTCTTTATGCATTACTTGGCCCCAGTGGTAAGATTTGGAGCCTCAAGCAGTATCATAATATCTTCAATCCGCTTCTTACGTGCATGGAAGGCTCAGGAAGGGCACAGGCGCCCAGCTTGTAACCGCCATGGGCGAGGCTCTGCAAGGTTGGCTCCCTGTCATAGGTGTTCAGTACGGCCTTGAGCTTCTTGGTGTTGTCCTCTCCGTGCGTGGTGATGCCATCCAAGTTCTCGGAAGTATTTTTCATGCACTGACTCGCATCAGGGCATCTCGCCCATGTGATGCTTTGGCAACGCTGGCCATGAATACAATTGAAAATCCTGCTACTGGTATAGTAAGGCGCCCTGTATGGCTTCAAACTTATACTTAGTACAAGCGAAGCCAGGTAAACACCCTTTCCTGGAAGTGATACCTCGAATATGCGAGAACCTAGCAAAGAGGTGGGATGTGGAGACCTGGTTGACTTGCTTTCAGCGGCGTGCACTGCAAGGCCAACTAGCATATCAGTTGGAAGCGGAATCGGGGCAAGAGCAAGAACGCCAGAAAATTGTGTCCCCCAAGCTTCATAGACCTTACAGAAGAGGCAGTGGATGATACGCGCTCCCCATACTGGCTCGTACCCCTCAACATCAGGGAAAATATCTAACAAGCCGACTGCTAAGAGAAGCTTCGGGAACTACTGATTCTTCCCAGTGGATTTTACGAGCTTAAACTGGGACTCAGCTGTCCTATTTACTTCATCGATTTGTGCATCCTGGATTTGAACGGTCGTATGTCTTAAGAGGGACTCCCGACCCTCTCAATGGAATTCCGCTAGATTGTTACCCTTATAGCTAGCAACCATATACACAGCGGTTGCCTTCGAATCCGGTAATGTTTGGAGTCAAAGACGACCGCCGTGTGAATTTTGCCGGCCAGGGTGGCAACTGCGGCAATACCATCGGGGCCAACGCCGACAACGCCAACATCGTAGGTATCCATAGTGCTTCTTGGTATTCTTTTCCTTACCGCTCTTCAAGAGTGCTAGCCTGTTCAATGAAACAGATAAATACAATTCAGTGAAGTGAGACAGGAAGCAAAATCCAGGAGCGGGATCGCATGTGAATGAGAATTCGTGGGAAAAGGCGTCCAAGACGACAAGCTCCATCCTTTGCGTTGAAGTTCAATCGAAGCGTACCAGGGTGCTTACACCGACAGGAGAGGTCAACTGGTGCGAGCGGTCACGGAACGCGACATCTCCCTGTCAGGGTCATCCAGTCGGAAGAGTTTCAGTGACATGTCGGGGGAAACAACTTGAAGGGTCCCGACCAAGCGTTGGTGGTCTGTTCATTTCCCGGCCAAGTATCTAGGTCTCACCGTGCCCCAATCCCGACAACGAGATGAGACCACTCATGCATTGACAAGGGATTTTCAAACGGAAATAAAGTTTCCCTAATGTTAGTGTGTTGGTGATACCCACCAACATGCCCATACTCTGCTATGACGAATCTGGCGGAGCCCGATGCAACAACAGTGTGGTGCCCACACCGAAAATTCATGGGCTCGACCAACAATCACGCTAGCAGAGCCCCCGGCACCAACGTCTACATAGTCTGACAGACGGACCAACTGGGCAGGGGGGGCTCAACCTGCGGTGTCACAAGAAAGAGACACGGGGGCGGGGTGTGTGCGTTCCCACACGGATGCCTGTTCCACCAAGCCCATGCCTGATACCCGCCATGATTTTGACTGCAGGCGGTGCTGTAAACACGCATCTACGCGAGTTTTCCCCTTCCCCGAGCCCCTCCCTATGAAATGAGGAACTTGATGAGTCGTGGTGAATGATACACACGCATGCTGGGTCGTCTTCAGATCCTCAGCTCCATCAGGACAGATCGTTCACCTTCTTTCTGTCCATCTTTTACTTCTCCGGTGTCATCAGTCGAGCATCAGAAGCGCGGTTTTCCTTTACTTTCGCCGCTCACTGTCGTTCAGAGCCGATATGACCCAGCCGCAACACACGAATGTCAAAGAAGGGGAGGATAGGGCACAAGTCGGCACTCCCGCTCGCCATGAAGAGCTTGTGCCGACCAGTGGCCCACGTTTGGCATTCATCATGCTCGGATTATGTCTGGCCGTTTTTCTGACAGGAATGGTCTGACCTCGTCCTTCCATTGCTCTACGGCCCTTACCGTCTACATGTCCCCACCACTGAAACATGCTGACCGGCAATCGCAGGATCAAACTATCCTGGCCACAGCAACACCGGTGATCAGTGATGAATTCCAGACCATTGCTGATCTAGGGTGGTGGACAAATGGGTACTTGCTCACGTTGAGCAGCTTCCAATTATTCTATGGAAAGCTGTATAGCCTTTTCTCAATCAAGATTGTCTACCTAGTCGCCATTGCGTTGTTTGAAATCGGATCCCTCGTCTGCACCACTGCTCCCAACTCTGCTGCTCTGGTGATTGGGAGAGCAATTGCAGGCCTAGGGGCAGCCGGAATCTTCGTAGGTGGATTGTTCGTTTTCTTTCCCTCTCAATCAGACCTGCGACGGCGTTCATTTCTGTTTTTATTCATGTGCGCAACTCGACACTTGATTGAACAAGCTTCAGAGGTGGAAAGCTGACCGAGATTGTAGTCCGGCGGCATCCTGATCACCACGAAGACTATCCCATTGGCTCGTCGAGCGGCCTACTTGGGTATCATGTCTGGCGTATTCGGTGTTGCTGCCATCCTCGGCCCATTCATTGGCGGTGGCTTGATCGACAGCACGACTTGGAGGTGGTGCTTCGGTATCAATCTCCCTCTCGGAGTCATTACTGTGATCATTTGTGCATTGCTCGTGAAGACACCCGTTCAACCGGAAATTGAGGGTTTCACAACGGCACAGAAGTTGCGCCAACTCGACATCCCTGGTACAGTTCTCATGGTGGCCGGTCTCATATGCCTCCTCATGGCGCTGCAATGGGGAGGGTCCACGTATTCCTGGAACGACAGTCGCATAATTTCCCTGTTCGTCGTTGCTGCGGTCCTAGGCATCGCATTTGGAGCATTTCAAACACTGAGCAGGTTCTCTACCACCATCCCGCCCGCTGTGGCTCGTAATCGGGATGTTTGGTTTGCGGCCACTTACGCCATGAGTATCACAGGCGGTGTGTATACGGCGATCCTATACCTTCCCATTTGGTTCCAGACTGTGCGCGATTACTCGGCTTTATCATCCGGCACAATGCTGACCCCTCTGATCGGTGGCTACGTTGCCTGCTCTGTGATTGCCGGTGCAATTACCATGGCTGTCGGTTATTACAATCCCGGAATGATACTGGGCACACTGCTAGCTATGTGAGTCCCACAATCATCGTGCACAAGTACCCCGTGTTGGATGGTAAACTGATAAACCCAATCTGCCTATTCAGCTCTGGCTCCGCGCTATTGACAACCATCGACACTAGCTCATCCACGGCTCGCGTAATTGGATATCAATTACTTTGTATGTGTGATCTTACGACCGTTATTCCCTCCCATCTTCTCGGCCTTAAATAGAAGCGACCACAGCTGACTATCTTGCAACTACTAGACGGTTTTGGCGTAGGATTTGCCTTCGGCCAACCCAGCTACGTTGTACAAACGGTGCTGCCACCCCCTGACGTTCCCATTGGTGTGACTTTGATCACATTAGTTCAGAATCTTAGTGCCTCTGTTTTTGTGGCTGTGGCCCAGAGCATATTCCAAGACAAGCTTAGATCTCACTTGGAAGCTATGGACCTGCCCGTGTCTATTAATATTTCATCTACCGGAGCAGCCCAGATCGCGGATGCAGTGCCGCCAGAGTTCCGGGACCGCGTCGTAAAAGGCTTAAGCGAATCTCTTGTCACGACCTTCTACATATCGCTGTCTCTCAGTTGCGCTTCAGTGATAGGTGCGGTCGGAACTAGGTGGCGATCGATGAAGGAAGGAGGGACTAGGAAAACGGAAGAAACTGCGTTAGCTGATGGAAATAGCGAGCAACACCACACGGGCGAAGCTTTAGCTGAACGGAAGTAGATTTTAAATGTCGGTAACAACAATAATGAGATATTCTCGAAGGCAAGTTCTGCAGTGTTTAAGTCACAATTGCATGCGCAGATCTCATCTGTTAGCCGATTTATCGGTGTGACAAGCTCCCTGTTCCGGATCAGCATTTTCACGCACGGAGATTAAATATATGACCTTTGGGCTTTCGGGTGGAGCAGCTATGAGAGACGTCAGAGTAGCTTAATACCCCCATGAGATGCGAGTACACAAATTCTCTCATGGGCTTATCAGCGCGGGTGTATGTGAGGCGGAATATGAGAATACCCGTACTAGCTACCTCAATGACAGATGATGGCGTCCTCCATGTGTCCGTCATACGGAGAGCGTAAGGCTTAACATTGATCTTGCGCCACCTTTGAGATTTCTTCTATGCAAAAAAATGCTTTGCGCGTTTGCAAAGCAACGTTATAATGCTTAAGTGTGGGAATGAACGAGTCTTCCGCCAGCTTGTCAATCGAGAAGGTGAAGATAGCAACACGCTTAGATCCACCAATGTCAGCTGAACACAAGTACTTGCGTAATGGGTGCGGCAGGTCTGGTTGAGGTATAGGAGAGAATGTTGGGATGTTTAAAATATATGCTTAAAATGGGTGGGTCAAAGACCTCATCGCTTGCAGTCAGTAAAATGGTAAAAATACCAGTTATTATGTATTTCTGAGTGACTGCCTTGGCTCAAAATCCATTGATGACCGTTGAACCTAACATCTCCTAGCAAGTAGGATTGTATGGATCTATGTCATGAACCATGTTTGACAGAGCTTTCACGTCCGGGCTTAGCAAGCGCTAAGATGGACGTCCAGACAAGTATTTCGCTGTCCATCCCTACTCTGGAATCTCTGTCAACTCAACGAGTTCCCCATCTGGGCCCCTCACATAGCAGATTCGCTGTCCCCTAGCTTCCAGGATTGGTGCATCCTGAGGAACAGTGAATATACCACTAAAAACATGATAGCCCTCAGCCTTGACCCTTTCCAAAATGTCGTCCAGGCCCTGCACAACCAAGTTGACATGTACAGCGCCAATGTCCCATGGCCTTGCCTGCGGTGTACGGGCCCTGTCTGCCTCGGGAAGATCAGCCGGCAGCTCGTACTCCATCAGCTCGAGCGTGGAGACATGATTTGGCTGGTCGCTGCCGCCCACACGGGGCGTTTGTGGCAACCCCAGGAAGACCACCTTCATAGTTGCGCCAACCGGGGCGCCGGTGATGGTATGGGTTGCTTCGGGAGGAACCTGCTGCTCCCAGATGACCGGAACCCCAATAGTATCCCTCCAAAACCGGAGGCTATCGGACACTAGAGAGACTCGATATTCAGCGACTTGCTCAGCAGAACGGAATCAAGAGCAAGAGAATTGCTGTGTTGCCCAAAGCTTACTTGAGCGAACGGCCATGCCTGTGTGGCCATAGCCAAGAAGCTTGAAATTCGTAGCCATTGAGTGAATCGAGAAAATAAAAGCTGTTTGTCGAAGGAAGCCTGCAATGATTTTCGCCTTGTACACCTGTGCAAGTCGCATGAGCAGGAAGAAAGGCTGCTCTGGAAATATGAGGTGACCATTTATATGCAAAAATGAGGGGCTCGCCCTAGAGTGTACTTTTGCGCATCACGCTAACCGGGTGACCACCAACGGCTGCAATGGTGCCCGCACAGTGTAGCTGGCTCATTGTACCCCGGGAACTGGGCATTCGAGCCTTGATTGTTGGTCGACGTGCACGCCAACACCACCTTGGCTACTCCGTACCATCGTTACGCTTACCCCTGTTCCCGATTGCGCCCACTCCCTCGACCCCGTTCCGCAGATGAGGGGCGCCGGATGAGATTAGAAATCTGCTCTAGAACTTGAAACGGCATGTTGATTCCTATCTGCCGATATAGCTCTAGATATCATCGAGGCCCTCGTCGAGGACAGTCCTATTTGAATGGGTACGTAGGAGACCGGCAGCCTGAATTCAGTCGCACCCCGTAGATAACTCAAGTCTCCCTACATAAACAAGAGAGGTAACTAGCTCTCCTCAATCATTACTAGAAGTTGTGCGGCTGATCCAACGAACAGGCTCAATACCTACATTAACTAGTGGAAGACCGGGAACTGGTATGTGAATCTATGGGTCGACACTATTAACCCGGGTACGTTCGCAGGGTAGAGCACCTAGGTACTAAGTCAGCTGCTAAACATCTAGGCCACCTCTCGATAGACAACACCTTTAATGACTTCTCTATGTCGCTATAGTCCCGGTGAGTCAAGCTGAAGTGCTTACTGTAGATAATATACGTTTCTAGCCCTAATAGTATTACAGTAAGGTTGCCTCCTTTTATTGTTTTACACTAACTTATAACAGCGGACTTAAGCGACACCTTAGTATATATACCTCCTAGATATACTATTTATTAAATCGAATTACTAGATTTAAAGTAAATATTATAACTATATTTAATTTTATAGATATTATATATTATATAAACTAGTTTTTTATATAATTATTAATTATTATATATTTTTAAATATATTAATAATAAAGTTAAAATATTTAATATTAAATAAAAGTATTATATATATTTTATAAATATTAAATTAAAAATAATAAAAGTATTATATTTATTAAATATATAAATAGTTATATAAAATATAAATATATAAAAGATATTTATATTAATATTTAATAATATTATTATTTAATTTATATTATTTAATTATTTAATTATTTAATTATTTAATTATTTAATTATTTAATTATTTAATTATTTAATTATTTAATTATTTAATTATTTAATTATTTAATTATTTAATTATTTAATTATTTAACTATTTAATTATTTAATTATTTAATTGTTTAATTATTTAATTATTTAATTATTTAATTATTTAATTATTTAATTATTTAATTATTTAATTATTTAATTATTTAATTATTTAATTATTTAATTATTTAATTATTTAATTATTTAATTATTTAATTATTTAATTATTTAATTATTTAATTATTTAATTATTTAATTATTTAATTATTATTTAAAGTTTATAAATAATATATTTAATAACTTCTTATATATATTTTTATAGTTTTTATAAAGAAATTTTAAACTTTTTTATTTTTATTATATTTTTATATTTTTAAAAGTTAATAATTATTAATAATAAAAGTATAAATTAAAAAAATTAAATTTATTATATTATATTTTTATCTTTTATATATTATTTTTAAAACTTTATTTAAAAGTTTAAAAATAATATATTATAAATTATTATTTTATTTTTAATATTTTTAAACTTTATTATATATTAAAAGTATATTTATAATAATATTTACTAAAATATTTATTATAATATATAATTCATTTAAAATTCTTTTAAACTTTATTATTAAATTAAAAGTAAAAATTAAAGTTTAAAAAATAAAATAAAATATATTTTTAAAATTAATTTAATTAATTTTATTATTTAAAACTTTTATAATAATTTTATAATTTATATTTATAATATTATTTATTATTAAAAGATATTTTTATATTTAAATAATTTAATTTAATATTATTAATTTTAATATAAATTAATTTATTAAAAATAAAATTATTATAAATTTAAAGTTATTTAATTTAATATTAATAAATATTATTATATAAAAGTATTAAATTTATTAAATAATTTAAATAAATTAATTAAAATAAATAAAAGTAAAATTATTATTATATTAAAAGTTTTAACTTTATTTTATAAATAAATATTTATTTAATAAATATAAAAATATTACCTTTATTATATTATAAGTTAAATAATTAAAAGTAATTATTTAACTTATTATATTTTATTAAATTAATATATAATTAAATAAAAATTATATTTTATTATAATATATAATATTATTTTAAATTTATAATTTTAATAACTTTATTAAAATGTAAAATAAAATATAATTATTAATAATTAAATTTATTATTATATTAAAGTAAGTTTTATTTTAAAAAAGTTATTATTTAAAATAATTATTATATTTTAAAAGAAATTAAAAGTTATAAGCTTAATTTAAAATAAATTTAATTTTAATTTTATTTAAAAAAGAATTAAATAAGTTTAAAAATAGTTTAAATAAAGTTAAAAATAAAATCAAATTATAATATATTAAAATAATTAAATAAATATTAATTTAAAAATTATAAAATAAATTTTTAAAGTTTACATTAAGAAAGTTTATTATAATATATATATATATATATATAAAGTATTAAATTTTATTTCATTTTAATTTAATATATTATAAATATTTAATATTTTATTTTAAAATTAATTTAAAAGTTTATTAAAAATAAATATTTTTATTTTATTATAATTATTATTTATTTAAAAATCTATAGTATATAAAAGAAATAAATTTTAAAAGTTTAATATTTATAAAATAAATAAAGAAATATTTTTAAAATATAATTTAATTTTATATATTAAAATTAAACTTTAAATTAATATTAAATTAATCTAATTTTATTTTAATATATATTTATATATTAATCTTTATTTATATTTATAAACTTTATTAGAAAAGAAATAATTTATAGTTTTTATTTTTATTATTATTAAAAGTTTATAAAAATAAAAATAAAAGTTTTAATTTTATTAATAACTTTTTTTATAAAAATAATTATATAAAAACTATTATTTATTTTATATTATTTAATATTATATATTTTAATAATTATTTAATATAAATATTATTAAATTAAAAGTTAATATAATATTTTTTTAACTTTATATAATATTATTAATAGTAATTTAATAAATATAAGTTATTTTAAAAAATTATAATAATTTAAAGTTAAAAGAAAGAGGAAATAAAGACTTATAATATATTTAAAAAGGGGGTGCCTAGGAACCCGATAATATACTAGACTAGTAGTGGGGCTATGGGACAGGGAATGTATCCACCTCATGGAGTATACCGAGGTTGTCAACCCGCCACTATCACATTGCAGAAATGTTTTCTTCGTGTTGGTTCAATCCCATGTCGAGCCAGTGGACACCAATCGCTCTGTGCCGCACACTTGTAGCTGCTTCGCCCGCGCAAGATGTGCACAGCCCGCACTGTTGGTTACAATTTGATCGACGGACATGTTCCGAGGGTCACATCGGGCCGTTACCCGGTCGATGAAAATGCACACACTGTGCCTACCAACAGATATGCCATCCTACGGAATCCTACGGAGTACATTTGAACACTCTTGTTGATAGACGAAAGAGGAAGAAAAAGTACAAGGGCCCCAAATGAACATACATAACAAGACGCATTGCATGGGGGTGAATAGAACCTGGAATGGCAACTTAGAAGTCATGATATCTCATTATGTCAGCCAAGACCATGAGCTAGTGAACAGCGAAAGGGAGGAAGCTAATGACTCCGTTTTTCTAAAACATGCTGAGGTGATAAAGGTAACGTCCATAACTATGTATGTAGGGGCACGGGATAGCAGTATCGGCATTAGAGGGTTGATCTTTAGTAGCAAGCCCTTTGGTGAACCCCTTGACGACCAACTTGACCCACGAAGTATCAGGGATCTCAGCCTTAATAGCTTTCCACTGACTCGATGGTTCTTTATATGGTTGTTCTTGTCGATGGTGGGATTATTACCCCAGTTAGGGCTTCATGTTTTGACCTGTGGAAAACCCCTAGGTGTGGCGGATGGCAGCTTTAGAAATATCACGAGCATATTACTAGTATTGACCGCTTGATTCCCATAAACAATTGAGTCTCTGATGTCTATTATCGTATTTCCATACTTTTTTCAACTAGCTAATAAACGCTTTTTACAGCTCCGGCTCCAACTGTCACGCCACAACTCTGGTACCTTGCCATTACAGGCAGAGTACTAGGGGCATTTCTATTATCACCACTTTGTATATGTATGATGAGCATTCCTAGGACAATGACAGTAGAGGCACGTTCCAGTCAGTCTAATGAAGCTTAGAACGCCTCAAGTGTCACAAGTCACTTAGAGCTTTTTGTTAGGGCAGATAGACTACCACTGAACGATCGATTATCAGTCGGTCCTCAGCTCATTAGAGTATTGCTATATTATGTGGAGTCTTGTCTAGTCCTCATGCATATAAAACATATATAGCGCTAAATACATGCTATCTTGTACTTCCTATGCTTGTTAGTACTACTATTACACTAGTAAATAAATGTAATAAATATTTCTACTAGTTTAAAGGCTGGGGTAGTCCTATGTTTATTATTTTTATTTAATTAAGGAAACTAAAGCCCGCATGAGATGGTGATACATTTACTTCATCATGATGTAATATTTACGCTAAACTCAAGCTATAGATACTGCTTTTCCACAGATGCTGAGTTTGTGGCCATGGAATTGAGGATGTGACGAGATGGTGGCATCTTCCTGAGCTTGACTTGCAACCCACAACCAGTACACCACCTGGGCACTCAAATCTCAAACTGGAGAGCAACTGTAGCTCTCTTGGGAGATGGGGTACATTTTCAAGATGGCTTGCTGGTTGCAAGCGATGTGATAGCTGGTCTCATTTTCCGTAGTGATTTCGTCGACCTGCATGATCCGCGAATTATTATTGAGCTCACGGCAGTACACGTGAGCCGGGCGATCGATTTGTTGGTGTGGCTGGAAGCCGGCGCTAGATGACCACTCCTTGGTATTATAGGTGTCCCTTCGAGTTCTGTTCTTTCGACTGCTCCAAGCACCGAGCAATTTCAAGCGCAATGGTTTGAAGAAGGCCGAGCCCGAATTATGCAACCTTATGAAGGCGGCAAGTGCAGGCATGCATCCTACCACGAGCGCTATATTGTTCTCCAGCATTCTGTGCGGTGATTCCGTCAGCCGTGGCAGTGAAACCATGTAACCCGCAATGGTAAGGTAAATTCATACATCCAAATGAATAGCTGGGCCTCTTGCCACAGCTGGTCACCTGCATAATCCAAGAGCAGTCTGAAGCGCCAGTAGGCACTCAGAAGGCTTGCTATTATTCCCCTGTCAACGGAGTCAGCTTTATAGTTTTCTAGACCTATTCTCGTCTTTGTAATAGGACTGAATGAATATATGGGATTTGATGTCTTACATGATTCCGGTTAGAAACACAGTGCTGAGTTGGATTTTCTTGCGCCGAGTGATCTGAAGATTGCGGATCACCAACAAAGGGATAATGAGCATCCAGATGTTAAGAATAACCTCACAAACACCATGAATAGGTGCATAGTATGTCATTTTCCGAGTTCTTCCGTTTGTCCCAGGGTCAGACCAACTCTCACCAGCACGAGGGGCTTGAAAGACAATGACCAAGATCAGGTGGGGGATATAGACAAGGGCACTGAAGGCTATTGCCAATTTGATGAATAGCTTCATTTTGCGCTCAACGGAAAACATTTGGAGGTAGAGGACCATGATTGGAAGCTTCGTCGTGAACTGGGTGATTCCGAGCATAATGTTCGAGACAAACAACAACTGAGAGGCCATTAGTATTATTAACAAACCAGCACTGGATTAGGGGCAAACGAACCTTACCTTAGACAGCCTCTCTTGCATAAACCAACATACGGGTACATCCCAGATATGCCGACTATAGGAGTGCACTATTACCACGTTAAACAACGCCCCTCTAATTAGAGCCAACAAATTAGAGGTCTTACTGTTCATGATAACACCTGAGTATCCAGTTGAGAAGATGAATCCTATGATCGCCAAGTCTTTTTGAAATAGATGTATTAGTCTCGTTGCCGCTTGTGTAGTAAATATAAGGTCTTGTCCTGGCCTCGACGCAGTCTTTCATCGTGTGGTGCAGGTTGTTGGTGAATGGATTGGCGTGTGAGTTTGTTCCTTACAGTCCGCCATCGCCAACCTCTTCCGGTTCACGAAGAGTCTCCCAGAAAGGAAAAAAATCGAGAGGCCTGCGAAAACAGAACCGACTGCCAGCGTCTCAATTGAGAGGTCTTTTGGGTCTAACAAGTTGGAGGTTCGCCCCTTTGGCGGCGCCGCCGCCGAAATCGCGCAGTAATCCATAGTAGACATTTAAGAGAGAATTGTGTTTGAATGAGCTTCTTCTTCATCAATTGATGATTGACGAAGGGTAGATAGCAAAGGGAGAGAGTGCAAGGGACCTGGGCAGGGGCTGGGACGAGGTCCAAAGGTTGGCCACCCCTCATGCGGTCTACGCGCCGAGTTTGGAACCCGGGGATGAACTTTGCCCGACTCAAATGGTACGCTGTGCCCTAACAGGTATTCTAACCGAATGCAACAGCTTTCTTGGTCTCACCCGCCGACTGTTCCAATAAAGGTAGGACGCTGGCGCTTGCACGGCGCAGTTGGGCGCTTCAAAAGGCACAGCTGTGGAGACACAATCAAGAGACCATCGCTCTAACGTCCAGATTGTTATTCCCAGCGTGGAGTCGATTTGGACCAGCCAACCATAGATGTGGGGTAGATTAGTTAGTTACATCCTAAGGTCACCTTGAGACGCAAGAAGTGGAGATAGTATGCATGTTGGTACTATGTACTAGGACGCAGAGTAGGATTTCTATTCTTAGACCCCAGGCGGATGAACGTGCCTGCACACTAAATAGAACTGCCTACGGACTGCCCCGCCATCAGTGCTTTCTTAGCACAGTGGGGGTCAAATGCAGCCAGAAATTTATTCCTGTACTTGGAGTTGTAGACCCCAAATTAATCGACCAGCCCTAAGAAATGTAGGTCCAGTCAGACGTGAAATTCTCTACCAAACACCAATCGCTGATGCTCTCAGTTTCGGGGAAAGCGCCTCATTCGAGAAGCCTTGCTACTAATCTGGCAGCAGTTGCTAATATTGGGAATGTGGCGTATGAGACACCTACTTGTGCGTGCGGTCATGTTGAAGCAAGCACATACCTAAGTAAAGAATGAGGGAAAGCTTTAGCCCTAACCCTTTGCGGTGATCACCAAGATATCGTGCCAATGCTCCTCGAAGCAGGCGCCAAATTCCCAACAGATCGACCTAGTGCTTGGGGATCAGATTGGGCATCCATCTTCCATGTTCACATTCTGCCTGCTCTTAATTCTTTTTTTTTTGTTGTTCCTTCTTTTGCAACATTGTCGCACGGTGGGGAGAAAGCGCTGCGTTTCTCCGCCACGACCATGGGGCCCAACTTGGTGTGCTGCCCTCGAGGGTTGACGGCGTGTCTCCTGTGAAAGGTGCTGTTGCGAACGGGCGGCACGATACTATTGGGAGTTGAAGGTCAGGGCGATAGCGGATAAGATATTCGTGGAAACAAAGGCGAGCGGGCAATCGCACTGAAATTAAGTACCTGTCCTTGAATATCCACTACTACAGTATTTCTCGAATGGTTTTTAGAACTGCATTGTTCGAGCTTAACGTTCTTTGTGCGTCAGAACGGGCGAATGGGCCTGAATCTCCGGACCGACCGATATTGACGTGCAAAGACTGGAAAGAGCCGAGTTTGATGCAGCTTGGATAGCATCCTAAATATTGGTTGAGATGAACAGTTCATTAAGCCTGGAGGGGGGCGTGTGTGGTTTTGTTTCTAACCCGCATACGTGTGGCATTCATGTGGTGCCTTACTCCAGCATGACCCAGCGTTTAGAAAGAGCAGAATGCCAATAATAAGAGTGCAGAGAAGCCTTTACAGAGTGTAGCGAAAATCAGGGTGTCGGTCGCCCTTCTTGCCCTCAGCAATGTGTCTCGCCCGCTCGTCGATACCCATAGCCTGCCGCACGTGGTTGATCTTATTCAGAGTAATCCACATCGTGGAGTACCCTACCGAAGCTATGGTGATAGCACCCAGAGATACCGCATGGCCGATAGTATATCGACCGTCTGAAGCTGTGATGCGGTATATCTGCCCCGCCATTATTCCAGCACTATTCCCGATTGTTTGCTGCAACCCAATGGCCGTTGCACGCTTAAAGTACCCAGCGTTGCTGTTACTGACCCAGGTCACGTTCAGCCCAACAACACAATAGATCCCCGTCGCAGTAACAAATGTGGCGAAGTACTGCAACCCAGTCATATCCATGCTCACGCCTAGCATCAGTGCATAGCCCGTCGCAGTGATCAGGGCCATGGGCACCATGAACACTGCTCGTTTGTTGATCTTGTCTGATACGTACGCGACGATGAGGTAGACCGCTGACGCCCAGATGTATACTGGCACAGTGAGCAACTGCGTCTTGACGCTGCTGTATCCAAAAGCACGGATGATAATGGGCAAGAAAGTCCCAAAGCCGAAGGAGCAGGTGTTGGCACAAAACTGACACCCGGCAGAAAGCCAGACTTTTGGATCGCAGAACGCAAGCATCATCTCTGTCGTATCGAAGCTGTCTGATTCGCCCTGGTAAGCCCTGCCCTGGTCGGCGCGGATCCTCATCAGCGCCTTGTCGTGCTCTGTAAGCCAGTTGGCACTCTCAAAGCTATCCGGCAGCAAGAAGATGAAGGCGAGTCCGACTGCTAGAGATATCACACCCTCGATGAGAAACAGCCATCTCCAGCCAGCGAGCCCGCCCGCGCCGTGGAGGCTGGTCAAACCGTATGCCAGAAGACCACCAAACGCCCCCGACAGAGCGGCAGCAACGAAGAGGTAAGACACACGGCGGGCCTGCTCTTCTCGATTGTAGTATGTACTAAGGTATAGCGTTAAGCATGGGAAAAGTCCAGACTCGAACATTCCGATGAGCAGGCGCGTCGCGAGAAGGCCTGAATAGTTTGTGACGAAAGCAGAACCGACCACGGTTGCGGACCAGGCTAGGATGAAGAAGGGAATAAGCCGGGACGGCCGGGCTCTCTTCAGGATCAGGGAAGCGGGGATTTCGAATATGATATATGTTACTACAGAAAATTAATTCTCGATAATTCTGGGGAATCAAGGTCGTTAAATTCACTATAAAAGACGGTTACTGCGACATTAAGCCTGTTACCAGTCAGGTGTAGATCTTCGCTCATACCAGCAATCGCCGCATTACCTAGTTATCATAAGACTTGTTAGCTCGGCGCTGAAATAGAAATATGGAAGAAGTATACCAATATTACTCCGATCTAGGTAGGCGACAAGGAAAGCAATAACCATCATTGGCGCCAGCCAGCGGTCGAGTTTCCTGAGGAGCTTTGCTTCAGCCGCCGGATCAAGCGTCGATGAGTGCGAGCTGGTGTGTGCGGAACTTGGCGAACCGAGATCGCCATCCGTTTCCTCGGCCGGTACCTTTTCTAAGGACATTCTTGATTGTGTTTGTTGAATGGTTCAGGATAGTAATGATTGTGTACCTACTCGGACATGACAGAACCTTGGAAGTCCCAGCCAATCCATCAGTTGCGGTATTGATATAGTGCTGGACATGCAGCACACTGTGAGATCGGCCGGTTTACACAAGTAAGTCCATTGTCATTTCCCGGTGCTTATCAACTTGTCCATCGGCCCTCCTCGCTCGCCCGGGTCGGCAAATTACTAGTAAAGGACTTATCGTCCCATCGGCTGAAGATCCACCTCCATGCAGCTAAGCGGGGGCCAAGGGATACGTACAGTCATTCTTGTCGTTCAAGGGCCAGCAATGGGGCTGGCTGCTTGTTCCCCTCGCCATCCAAATGCTGGGGATGTTAGGTGATAACAAAAACCCCTCTCCTAATTCCGGCTGGCTACTGCAGGCATGAGAAAGCCGAGATCTCATCGACTGTGTCCAGCTCCAATGTTTACCGATCTCTCATCCCCGCATCGGTTTATTTGCCCCAGAAGCCAAAGGGCTCGGCCTCTTTGATCGGGAATAAGAAAAAGACGGTCTCGATGGAGGGTGTGCTGCCTAGCTCAGGCCTGGCGCTGGATCCGATAATTCCGTCAACTAGAAAAAGAAAGCGAGGGAGGCACGCAGCTGCGTGCCAGGCGTGTCATCGTCGAAAGCAGAGGGTGAGTGCACACGTAACTACAGCGTCATTTTGAATTATAGTGAAAGCCAAAGTACGCGCTCCGGAGGCTGGAACAACAATCGATGTGTCTTTCTGCCGGAGGTATCTGTTTCATCACATTCATTGAGTTTGGAGACCGCGAGTGATGTCGACATTCTCGGCGTGGCTGTCATCACAGTTGAGCAGCAGAATACATTCGATTAACACGGCGGCAGTGCAGCAGAACCCGACCATGTCTCAACTGTGATCGTCGCGGTGTAGGCGCCTCATGCTCATACAGCCATCTGGTCGAGGACACCGGGCAGCCGATATCACGGCCCACGCCGCCTCTTCGCAATTCACCCGTCGTCAACCCGGCACCGCCAATTTCATCGAGTGATACCCCCGGGAATTCGTACCAGGAACGACGAGACCTCGAGGCAAACTCCTCATCGGGTAGGACAGTACCTCATAGGCCGTGGACTGACGGCGGACAGCAGCAGCCTAGCGAAAATAGCCGAGACCAACATTGCGAGTACCCAGTCGGCAATCTTTTCAGGAGCCGCGACGCCCCTTCATTCTTTGGCTCGTCCTACTTTGGGCCTCATGATGCTGCCAAGATCATCCAGGCTCCTGCTCCGGAACTTTCGTCTGGTCTCTTACCCAAGGCTCGAGCGAGCTCGACGCATTCGTTTCGGGATGAGGGCGGGCCGTTCTCCCAGATATGGGAGTTACTCGGGTTGTTGCCTAGAAATAAATCTGCAGTAGACAAGTTGACAGACTGTTTCCTAGACGAACTGAATTGGGCTATCGATGCCGTGCAGCCCGCATCGTTCAAGTCAAAGTACGAGGACTTTTGGTCCAGAAAATTTGGCTTTGACGACTTCGCCACCATCGACCTCCGTTGGTTAGCCCTGCTCTTCATTGTAATGGCATATGGTGTCCTATTGGACTGTCCGAGACCGCGGAACAAAGAGGTGCAGGCAGAGGTCCACGAGAGCTCGCAGCGTTTCTACTGGGCTGCCCGAAGAGCCATCGTGATTGCCCCAACCTTCTACGGAGAATCGACGGACCTCGTTCGGGCAGGTGTGCTGGTGACGCGCTACCTCATCTACGCCCGCCGCGTACCCGAGTCATGGCTTACGACGAGCTTCGCCATGCGCATGGCACAAGCCCAAGGCATGCACATTGACGGGGAGAGATGGAAGCTGCCAAGAAAGGAGACAGAGACGAGGAGGCGGTTGTGGAGTAACCTCTACATGCTGGACAAGACCATCGCTCTCGCTCTCGGGCGCCCCTTTGCCATCGTCGACCAGCAGTGTCTGGTGAAACAGGCGTCCAACGTCTGGTTAGACGATCTCAATGACGAGGAGGCGGCAGCTGCGACTGAAGCACCAATGTCCGAACCGACTGCAAGTGTCTTCAGTCACATGGCCCATGAGTTGGCTGCAGTGGTGGGTAAGATACAGGAGCGTTGCTTTGGGCTCTTCACCGTATCTTACGAGACGGTCCTTGCCCTTGACAGTGAGATTGAGACTTGGAAAAGCAAGCTCCCGAAATATTTCGAGGTCGAAGACCCCGACACGTCAAAAGACGAGCGCCTGCCTTTCTTGACCTGGCATAGGCTGCACCTACACAGCATGTATCACTTCGCCCGGGTCACCTTGCACCGCTCATTTCTGCTCCGCCAGTCAATCACAAACCGATACAAACATAGTCACGACGTCTGCATAGCTTCGGCCTGCGCTGACCTCAGCATGGGTCTGAAGCTGTTCAGTCAACCCCTGAGCGACCGGTTGAAATGGAGTCTTGGTCCGCACAACCTCTTCAACAGTGCCTTGGTGCTCGGCATCATCGCAGTCCGGGACCCGCACTCACGCCGGTCGCACGCAATCCTTGAAGACCTCTCTGCATATTGCAGGATGCAAAGAAATGATATATGGGTCAACGAGTTCGCCCTAGCTGAGGTCAAGATGGTCGAGCTCTGCGTGAAGAGAGCGAGACAATCTCAATCTCAGTCATCTCCTCCAACTGAGATGGCCCCTTTGACTTCGGTGGACCCAGCTGAACGTTCTGTTCAACATGCCGGGAGGACGGATAGGCCGCCGACGCAACCACAACTCACGGTCGAGAGTCCTGACTTCGACCCCTTGCTTGCTGGGCTCGGACTCCCTTTCAGCACGTTGACTACGCAAACGATGTGGGATGATTCAGGGTTCTTTTTGCCAGAAAATGGAGACTTGTCGCAGTGGGAGCATTTCATCAATACTCTCATGCATGATTAAATGAATGCTTGACTTCAATATTGTCTGAGCCTGTTGCATGTCTCCATCGCCTACACAGTCATCTTGAGGCATATTTGCGAAATCTTTCAAGTGGTCATCTATCAATGATACTCGTGTTTCAGAATGCCTTGAGGTTTCCGGGAAACAACATGCTCAAACTGTATTTAAGATGTCACCGATCGAGAGGAAATCATTGCTGCTCTCAGGGATGGGTTGGCAACAGATAGTTGCAGTGTTCAAAACAAGATACACGTATGAGGATGTGGCGCGACCTCCAACAGGCGAATGACGTTACAGTCATTCTGCCAACGCTTGACGCAAAACAGTCACTAGAGGACGCCGAAGGTGTATTTAAATGGTTGAACCTTGCGAAAGTACCCTATGCCTCTCATGCCTGCCGTTTAATGCTCTGCCGCGTGCAAGGGGGTGGGGGTGCTAAGAGCCCTCATTGCCTGTATGAAAGCCATTGTACTTGCCTCCGGTCAGTTCATTCTGGCCGTTCACGCCGCCCAATTGTCCTGCTCCATTGACCGCTCTCGAGGGGGCTTTCTCATATTCAACCCGGTTCACGAGACTGCCCAATCCGTGACTCATGACAACGCGGAGGTCATCTCCTGGGGATAGGAAAACGGGCGGGGTCCTACTCACCCCTATGCCATGAGGTGTTCCCGTCATAATCACGGTGCCGGCCTCGAGAGTTGTTCCTTGAGACAAATATGCCACAATCTCGGCAACCGAGAATATCATGTCGTCGCATCTTCCATCCTGCATCACAACACCATTGAGGGTTGTCTTTGAAGAAATGACTGATGGGTCCGGGATCCTCGTGGTGCTGACCAGGCAGGGACCCATTGGCGCGAAGCCATCGAAGCCCTTTCCAAAACCCCACTGAGCTCCGGAAAACTGGTGCTTTCTTGCCGTGACGTCGTTGGAACATATGTAGCCAAGGACATGGCTCATGGCGTCCTCGACGCGGACGTTGCGTGCGCTGCGGCCAACGACTACTGCCAGCTCGGCCTCATAGTCGGCTTGCGAATCCGTGGCCTGGTGGGGAATGACCAATGGGGCATTTGAGGTGTTCAGACAGGCAGCCGGCTTGAAGAAGAGGGTCGGGTACTGGGGCAGATCCAGATTCATCTCCTTGGCATGTTTGCGGTAGTTGAGGCCAATACAACGGATGGTCCCGATTTCGTTGCGAGTCAATGGTGGTAGAACTTTGTGGATTTTAAGTACTTTTGATATTGTCTCCGCCGAAGTATCCAGGGCTGAGGTGCACGTGAAGACACGAACCCGAACCGCACTAGATGATGCCAAGGCTGCCCCAACTGTAGGAACATGAAGAGTATTGGCATGGCATGACAACTGAATTTTTTAAAGGCAAGATAACGCACCATCAATATCGGGGTCAACTGGTTCGCCGAGGTATTCCTTCCGATCATCCTCGGCGATGAAGCGCACCAAACGTGACCACTTCTGAAAATTGTCAGAAAATTTCATGATGTTGGAATGGATGCTTACAGGTGCTATCATGTTGGCTGCGGCAATGGAAAGCTGGATATGGTTGTTCTGGAGGGACGAGGGGGGGGCGCGAGCTTTGGAAGGCGGAAGGTTGACGAAGGCGTTTCTCGGGGCAGCTTCAATTGCACCGAGTCTCAGGGGAAACAGCGATGGCGACAATGGTAAATTAAGTGGCAAGTACCTAGGGACGCACGCTTGTGCAGCTACAGTCGTCGTGGCGATTTTCCCGAAAATCTCGGGATATCGATCGGCTTTTCCACTCTGAAAACAAGTATCCCCAGCAGAGCAGGCATTGGGCTTGGCAACCCCACCAGCATATGTGTACTTATACATGTACTCTTTGTCTTTTTTAAGTTCCTCTCCTAAGCTGGAACCCATAGTTAGTATCTTGAAAGGAGAAGGTATAAGGAATGTTTCAAGACAAGCTTTTGGTTGGCAATGCAGAACCTTTCACATTTTTTTTTTAAAAAAAAACATCAATGATGTACCTAGGTAACGTATACCGTAAGAAGAGCGACATTTTCAAAATCGGAAGCTGCCATCCATGGACAGTTCACCGCTACTTGGTAACTAATAGCCTCCCTGCTCTTGCACAGGGCGCAATTCGGCATTCTGTCTTGCAGAGTTGACGGGTACCTGTCTCGTGAGAGAGGGGTGCTGTGAGGGGGGGGCGGCACGACATGATATGCTGCGTATGGCAGTTGAACGTCGTGGTGGAAGCTAGCCGCATATTGCCCAACTACTCATCTTTATCATAATACCATCATTTGGGAATGTATAATCGGACACTTCAAGTTTGAATGCAGTTGTTCGCTCTCAGAGCCTCCCGGGATTTTGGTCTGCTGAGCCTGGAAACCTGATAGCATACTGATCCATTTTTGAGACGGGTCTTTGCGTCTTTTGAATCATTTTCACGTTGGTTCCGCAAGCAGGAGTTGGTCATAAAATGAAGCCAAGAAAAAAACAACAGAAGTTCAGGTGAACCGCGAGCAGAGAAATTGAACTCATAGCGATTACCTAGGAGTCGGACCTTCTCTGCCACCCTATGTTAAAAAAAACTTAAGTTTCTTCTTTATAACATTTTTAGTTTGATGATCTTAACGAACGACTCAAAGTATAATATATTAATTAAATTATGTTAAGGAGTAGTATTATCACTTGAAAATGTATAAGATCCCTGGTAGGATAGCTTCTAATTAAGTTCTAATCAGTAGGGAAATGTAAGCCGATTTTATACCCCGCCCCCCTCTCTCAGCTTACTAATTAATGCCCAGTTTGGGATCGATGCTTACGTCGAGCTGGGACACAGAGATCGAGCTATTATCTCTCCTTTCAGTTACACAGGGTCGACATTTTTCGATAGGAACAGTGATTACCTAGGTGACTTTCAACCTTGTTACGCGAGACGAATTATTGACAGGAGCCGATGTTGCAAATAGGGAAACGCGAGCGCATGGACGATGTGGACATACTTCCTATTTGCTTGCAAAGACTAGACGCGCAAGCAAATCAGGGCCACCCCCAAGAAGCTACGAATCAGACCGAGGCGGCCATCCCTTCGATGGTGAACCGTGGCTCAGATGGTGAGTCCAGCGGTGCCGGAACATCAGCTGATCCAGTTGGCCGTGTTGTTCCAAGCGAAGAAGGCTGTTCAATGGCCAATGGGGTGGAAGAAGGAGCAAATACCGCAGACTTGGATGGATCGCGAACGGCGGACGTAGTTGGCACTTTGGGGGGGAGTCGTGACCGTGCCCTGCTTGGGCTTCCCCCTGGCTGGAGCAGGAGTCGAGACGAAGACGGCCGGACTGTTTTCGTAGACCGCATCTTCAACACGACCACTCATGTCGCGCCCAGTCGTCAGATACCACTTCCCGCAGGTTGGGAGCGGAGGTGGAAAATGAGCGGGACTTCGTATTTCTTTAACCACCACACAGGCACTGCGACTCTAACCAACCCAGCTCCCTGGGATGACCCGGACTGGGTAGAGAGGTCAACCGAGGATGGCACGCGCTACTTTATTAATGAGCGCACCAAGGCCGCTTCTTGGTTGGATCCCCATTTCCGAACGAAACACGCCATGGCGCGGCTGGGGATGCTGCAAGTCCCAGAGCCTCACAGCTGCACGCACTGCGATACAATCATGATTGACTTTTATGAAGAGGGGCCAGCGAGGGACTGGGCACCCCCACATTCTGCTTCGGTACTCTGTGCAGACAGTCCAGAGGAGGTGGCCGCAGCCCAGCGCGCTGGCTGTCCCTTCTTTTGTTATCTGTTTGGATATCCGCAGATCAAGAGATCTGGCATCCACAAGTTGCGGCCAGAGGATTTGTACCTGGAGTTCAGATGCTCCTTCATTCAAACCTTGGCCGACAGGTTCTGCTTCGTTGCTAATAACTGGCTTCTTGGTCCACGCTTTTTTCTATACCACGCAAAAGACACCATCAGGGACCAATCTGTGGATGGGGATTCCACTAGTACACCAAGGTTCATACTCTGCCGGGACGACTACTCTAGTGAGTGCTATTCTATCTCACTTGCTATTAGACCAATGCCTAATGCGAGCCACTTAGAAGGCGGTGTTTCGTTTAATTACCCGAGGCGACATACCATGGCGTTCCATTGCCCAGACGTCGACTCAAAAGCTTCAATGCGCTGGGCAAGGCGGTGCCTGGAACAGTGTGAAGACCCCGGAAATAGGATATGTGAAGGCCGGTGTCAGCCGAAAAGGACGAAAGAGTTTGCCGATTTTGTTCCTACGCGTCTCATCCAGGTGGACTTTGAACGAAACAATGTCCGGATTGTCCGAGGGTCCAGTCTTGATCCCAAAACACGATGGGCTTGTCTCAGCTACGTCTGGGGTGGTGATCAACCAGTCAAGACGACCAAAGACAAACTTCTGCGATACAGCAGTGCCTTGGGTCTGAATGAACTCCCGCCTGCGATTTGCGACGCGGTTGTTGTGTGCCGAGGTATAGGCCTGTCGTATCTTTGGGTTGATGTTCTGTGCATCCTGTACGACGACCCCGAGGACAGGATACGAGAGCTGGCCGTCATGTCGGAGATCTACCGGCTGTCCACTGTTACTATTTGTGCCGCATCGAGCAGTGGAGTTGAGCACGGGTTCCTTTACAACAGGGGGTATTTCTATTCTGCCCGCTCATCTCCGCCGGTCAGGCTACGGTTCCGCAACAAAACGGGCGGCGAAGGGGTGCTCCTTGCCTTTGCGACCGAGAACCAGGAAGACGAGCCTGACTACAAAGCGCCTATAGAGGAACGCGGCTGGTGTTATCAGGAGCGGCGCCTGCCGCCTCGTGTGCTGTACTATGGGCTCAGGGGCCTGATGTATACTTGCCAGCACCGGCAGATGCGGGACCGAGGGCCGTACGGGGCCGTCTTCCGCGATGTACCGGTCATGCCGCGCCCATTTGAAGAGCCCAGCTTCTTCACCAAGGACTGGATGGAGATTGTTTCCAACTACTCGCGCCGGCTCCTGAGCCACCCGGGAGACAAGCTGCTCGCCTGTTCCGCAGTTGCAAGCGCGGCATACCGCGCTTCTCAACAATCGTCCCGGACCCGGCAGCAGAAGCTTTCTAATACATACCTGGCCGGGCTGTGGAAGGACAAGCTCCCAGTCGGGCTGGACTGGTATGTGCCGCCGCGTGCGTCCCCCGACGGAGCCAACCGTGAACTGCGCATGAGGCGTTCCAAGTACCTGGCGCCGACATGGTCGTGGGCGGCGGTCGACAGCGGAGTCAGATTTTGGTCGCGGGAGCCGGTCGACAAGGTCTGCAAACTGCCTCCAACACCCTCCAGCAAGGTCAGGATAATCAGCGCGGTGGCCAACCCAGAGACGACTGGAATGCCCTTCGGATCTGGCAAAGACGGCCTGCTGGTTGTCAAGGGCGGTGCGGCGGTGGCCAAATGGGTCCCGGGTGCGGACGGGGCACCAGACGCCATATCCTGCGGGGATTTTAGCTTCCCAGTGCACCGTGACAGCTTGGAGGAGGGGGGTGATGCGGCCGGGTTTGTGCAAGAGCCGTTGCTAGCTCTGCGCTTGCTCCGAGGGGACGTCTTGAACCATCACCGCGGCCTGAACTGTGGGCTGGTGCTCCGGCGCGTCGACAAGGACCATTGTGCTCGCGTCGGGCTTTTCTACTGTTGCCGAGAGCATGAGCACAACACTGGCGGATGCGGACAGAAATTTAAAGGGTTCAAGAAGCAAACGGTGAAAATTATTTAATTATGTTTATAGTCGATTTATAAGTAATATAAGCGACTTAGATTCTAACTATTATTTAATTTTAATTAACTTTTTTAAATAAAATCTATTTTACTTATTATTTTTATAAATTTTAATATATTTTAAATTAAGTTTATAATTTTTAAATCTTTTTTAAAATATATTAATTATTTTAAATATTAATAACCTTTCTTTAAAATAAAAGTTTATTTTTATATAATTATAAACTTAATTATTAATAATTCTTTTTCTTTTATTTATAAATTATTAAAATTATAAACTTAAAATAATAATAAAGTATAATTGTTTTATTTAAAGATTATATTTTAATTTAAAATATAATAAATTAAGTAACTATTTTTAAATAGTTTTATTTATAATATAATAAAGTGAGTAAATAAGTATTTATTTAAATAAAATTAAAAGTTTAATTAAAAATAATTATTATATTTTTATTTATTTTAATTAATTTATATTTAAATTATATAATAAATTTAATATTTATATATAATATTTAATTAATATTTAATTAAAAGTTTATAATTTATAATAATTTTAATTTTTATATATTAATATAAAAGTATTCTTTAATAATAAATAATATTATAAATATAATAAATTATTGAATTATTGTAAAAGTTTTATATAATAAATTTAATAAAATTAAAAATATAAATAATTTATAATAAATTTAATTTAATTATTTTTAAAATATATTATATTTTATTTTTAAAACTTTAATTATTAAAGTTTAATTTAATAATAAAATTAAAAATATATAAATAATTTATATATATAATAAATATTATAATTAAATTAATAATAATTTTATTAATAATTTAATAATAATTTTAATAATAATTTTAATAATAATTTTAATAATAACTTTAATAATAATATTAAAAATATTTTTAATAATAAACTTTAAAATATAATTTATAAATAAAATTAAATATTTATTAATATTATTAAATAAAAATAAATACTTATATTCATTTAAATAATTAATATATTTATATAAAGTTAATTTAAAAGTTATAATTAATAAAAAGCTTTATTTAATTTTATTTTAACTTTATTTAAAATATTTTTAATTACTTTAATTATTTATTTATTAAATATTCTTTTATTTATATTTTTATTATTATTTAAATAAAATAATATAAATTTTTAATCTTTAAATTAAATTAATTTTATAATAAGAATATTAATAAAAATATATTCAATAAATTTAATATTTAATAATAAAATCTATATAACTTTTAATTTATTAAAATATTTTTATTAATAATAATAATATTAAAATTAAAATTAATAATTAAAATATATATATAAAACTTTAATAATTATTAATAAATTATTATAAATTATAATAATAATAAAAATATAATAAATAAAAATTAATATTTATTATATATAATAAATTAATAATATAAATTAAAGTTAATATATTTAAAATATATTTTTAAATATATTAATTATTTTAATAAATATAAATATTTATTTTTATTATTATAATTATAAAATATTAATATTTTTAAATTATATTATTAAAATAAAATTAATAATTAAAATATTAAAAATAAAATATAATATATTTTTAAAGATTAATTTAATTAAATTTATTATATAAAACTTTTATAATAACTTTATAATTTATTATATTAATAATAATTCTTTTATATTAATATATTTAATTATATTTAATTATTTTTAATTAATATTATTAATTTTTAAAAGTTGTAATTAATATAAATTATAAATTATTTAATTTTAATATTATTAAATATTATATATAAAATTATTATATAATTTAAACTTTTAAAATATAAATTAATTAAAATAAAAAATTAAAAGAAATTTATTTAATTAAAAATATATATAAATTTAAATTTAATTAAATAAATATTTATTTAATAAAGTTAAAAATTATTAACTTTATAAATAAAATTATTTAAAAGTAATTATTTAACTTATTATACTTTTATTATAATTAAATATTTATTATTTTATAAAAGATTAAATTTATTAATTTATTAAATTAAAATATAACTTTTAAATTAAATAATTATAATAAAAATATTATTACTAACTATATATATTAATTATTTAATTAAAAGACTTTAATAATTAATTTACTTATTAATTATTTTTAGTAATTTATAAAAGTTAATACTATATTATTATTACTCTCTTTAAAGCTTTTATAAAACTTTAAATATAAAAGAAAATAATACTTTTAAGAAAGCTTAAAAATCTAATAATACAATAAAGTAAATAATTTATAACTTAATTAATAAAAACGTTAAGTTATTTATTTAAATTTATTAGTTAAATAATAACTTTTAAAGTTACTTTAAATAATATATAACTCTTTTATTATTTAAAAGCTTTATTAAAACTTATAAGACTTTTAAGTATAATAGTTTAAACTTACACTTTTAATAAGATTAATTATTATAATAAAAGGCGTTATTACTAGCTATATACTTTAATTATTCAATTAAAAACCTTAATAATTAATTTACCTATTAGTCATTCCTAGTAATTTATAAGAGTTAATATTATATTATTATTATAATTATATTTTATTATTTAAATTTATAATTTTAATAATTTTATAAAAGAAAATAATTATTAATAATTAAAATATATAATTATATAAAATAAACTTTTATATTTTAAAAATATTATTAATATTTAAAATAATTAATATATTTTTAAAGATTAAAATTATAAATTTAATTTTAAAGAAATTAAAATTTATAAAATATTTAAATTTAAATTTAAAAACTTTTTTAAATTTAATTTTTTAAAAACATTAAAAAAACTTAAAAAAAAGTTTAAATAAAGTTAAATTAAATTATAATAATATATTTTTATTAAATAAAAATTAATTAAAAAATTATATTTATAAATTTTTTAATTTTATATTTAAAGTAAATTATTATAATTATATTTTAAATAATTATTATAATTTATTAAAATAAATTTAAAGTTTTTATTATTTATAATTATTAATACTTATATAATATTATAACTATGTTACTCTTTTTAATATTATTTTTTATATCGGGTGGTATTGTTTGAGGGGGCCACTGCCCAGTCCTGGGACTGGGCAGTGGACCACACCTACCACAACCTCGGTACGCCCCCAATCTGCCTGGGCAAGTGCTAGGTACCTAGGTACATACAGATGAGGTTAGCAATCCAAAACCAGCCCCAGCTTTAGCCTCAACCTAGACACCAACTCATTCCATGCTCTGTTGCTGCACCTTTTCAGGACTGAGTCCAGTTTCCGTGTCGTCATGGCAGGGTCACCCACGGCGCCACTGAGGCGCATCACGAGGGCATCACTGGCACGCTTTGCCTACGCCGAGAGCGACAAGGGCAGCAGCACCAGCGCCACGACTGCAACGACGGCGGCAACGGCGACGATGACGACGAACAGAAAGACCAAGACTGCAACCGCAACCACAACCACCACAGCCCCAGACATCGAAGACATCATCCCCTCACCCTCCCGCAAGCGCAAACGAGCCACCGTCGTCTCCTCCTCGCAAGACCTTCTCAATGGCCCGGTCAGCGTCAAGATCGAGGCCTCGCCCTCCCCCCGCCGCGCCCGCAAGCCCGCACGCAGGACCAGGGACCCCTTGACGGGGGCCGAGACGGTGGTGGCTCCCTCGGGCTGGCAAGAACTCTACGACACGGCCAAGGAGATGCGGCTGTCGGGGGCCGCCGCCAACGCAGCCGTCGACACCATGGGCTGCGAGCGCCTGGCCCTGCCCACCGCGAGCCCCCGCGACCAGCGCTTCCACACCCTCGTCGCCCTCATGCTGTCCAGCCAGACCAAGGACACCACCAACGCCGTGGCCATGCGCCGCCTGCATACCGAGCTGCCGCCGCACCGCCCCGGCGCCCCGCCCGGCCTCAACCTCGACAACATGCTCGCCGTCGAGCCCGACACGCTCAACGGCCTCATCTGGGCCGTCGGCTTCCACAACAACAAGACGAGGTACCTCAAGCAGGCCGCCGCCCTCCTGCGCGACCGCTGGGGCGGCGACATCCCCGACTCCATCGACGGCCTGGTCTCGCTCCCCGGCGTCGGGCCCAAGATGGCCCACCTCTGCCTCTCCGCCGCCTGGGGCCGCACCGAGGGCATCGGCGTCGACGTCCACGTCCACCGCATCACAAACCTGTGGGGCTGGCACAAGACAAGGACCCCCGAGGAGACCAGGCTGGCCCTGCAGGCCTGGCTGCCCCGTGACAGGTGGCGCGAGATCAACTGGCTCCTGGTCGGCCTCGGCCAGACCGTGTGTGCGCCCGTCGGGCCCAAGTGTGGCGACTGTAACCTGGGGCTCGATGGCCTCTGCAAGGCCGCGGACCGCGCAAAGGTCAACCAGGGCCGCAGGCTACGGGAGGCCGAGGCCGAGGCCGAGGTTGACACGGGCGATATGAAGCATGTCGAAGCTGTCAAGCGCGAGATGGCCGAAGATGCTGTAGCCGACAACTCTGGGTCTGCAGAGCTGGGCGTGGCAGAGCAGCGCACCCAACAAGAATCGAAACCGCCGACAAAACGCCGAGGAAAGAGAGCATGATCGCCCGAGGGTCAGCTGTCCAGTCAGCAGTAGACGGTGTCCGTTCGGGTGTGATGGCTGCACGTCACTGCGCTCCGATCCACGTCCAAGACGATCAAGAAGATGGCCAGGTATAATGTTGTTTACCTAGGTATCAACTATCCATGACCAAGCGTAGACAGCGTCTCCTTCCTGGCGTTAGTCGTCGTCTTGCTGCAACCGCCTCCCCAGCGAACCACCGTTGTTGATTAGATATTAGACTATTATTAGTACAGCAGTGGTCGCTAAGCCCCGTGCGCCTCTGTTGATGAGGTTGGTATCGCCGTGTGGCCCCCAGCATGGCTACTCTTCTCCCCCTCATGACTGTCTGTCATCAAACACCCTTGACCACCTGGGTCTTCTCGCTCTCCAGCCGGGCGGCATTGCGCTCGTGCGACTCCTTCTTGCACTGCCAGCCACGTCAGCTCGTTGCGTTCTTCCTCGCCCCAGGCCCCAGGGCCACGGGGGCCAAGGGAAGCCCGTAGTAGGCACTCACATCGTCTAGCCCGGTGCAGCTGTGGTCCTCAAGCAGCCGGTGCTTGCCGCAGAACCGTCCCCCGCAGAAGCCGCAATCCCCCGCGGTGCGCTGCGGCTGATCCTTGCAGTCTGGGAAGCTACATCGCATCTTCTTGCGCGCCATTCCTTGGTTTGAGTTCGATGAATGGCTCGTACCCTAGGCAGCCGCTCTCGTGATATCGGTCTCGGTCGCTCGAATGAGGGGGGGGTTCAAGTTAGCCGAGACTGGACCGGAAGGGAAGTTTCAGATGATCAAGCTAGTTTTGTGGTCGTTGAAGACCAACGCGTTGGAGCAAAGGTCGACTGGTGCTATGATGGAGGCGCCACGTAGTTTTGGGTATAGCTGCTGTTGCCCGTTGGGTTAATTACTTCCAAGGTTGTCAATGCACAGACGGCTCGGGGCAAGTATCAAATCACCTTGTTCAACGGACCACGTTTCCTGAGGACCGTGTCACCTTGCTGGGTTCGATGAGGACGTGAGGCGCACAACGACTGTGGTTCATTTCAGGGTGGCTTCACGGTTTTCTTTTTCCACGGGGGCTGTCAAGACACCCCACTCTCTTCACTCGCCAAGGAGCACACTCGGGTATGTGCCTTGCTGTTGTGGACAATTTATCATTGATACCTACTTAAGGACCTAGGTACCTGGGTACCTAGGTAGTAATACTCAGGTTCCTGGACTGACCGGGGATCCAGGCATCGCAGCGTCTTCCTGCCACCCAACCGGCCGGGTGTTCCTGGCCATAGGCACAGCTCCCTGAATGCAACACTTTTTGGTGGTGCCGTCCTCATCCGTGCAGAATGCTTGCAGCTCTTCAAGTGCTCTCAATGACTCCTACTAGTATGGACGTGATCACCCGTGGACATCGGGACAAGCTGACTCACGTCCATCCAAGCCAATCGTGCCTGCAATGGTATTCCGTACATAGTGGAAGACTGCCTCAGTCTCACTGACTCAATATCATGAATACATGACTACTGGCAGCCTGGCTGGTCAATGCTACACGACCTTCACGACAGTATTTTTATACATATCCATGGCATCGTCATCACGCATGTAGTTGTTGAGGTAAATCAAACCTTCATTTTCCCGACCCCATGACCGTTTACCACTGTATGAAGGCGCCGCATAAGTTTTCTAGGTATGTATGGGGATTGGAAACGAAACCACTTCCCGACCCCATGCTGCGTTCCCCCGCGAATTTGAGCTAAGCTCCGTTGCACCCATCACGATGTGCGGCGTGAACGTCTTTTGACGGTATCATCTCATCCGCATACCGAGACCTTCCTGTTTCTTCTTTTCACATTTCTGGATACATTGGGGCTTCAAAAAGAAGAGCGTGAGCGCACAATCCAAATGGCACCCGAGCGAGCCAAACTGTCTTGTCTCCAAGGCGCCGGAAGCTTCCGCTTGGTCAGACACGCCTGCCAAGCTGTGGCGGTTGATATGGACGGTCCCATCGGCCGTCTTGTTGATGTACTCCTGGAGTTACAGGGTCTGATTCAGTCTCTGCCCAGCTACGATGGGTGTGGGGGAGGGAAGGGGGGCTTGGCTCACAGTGGGATGGTAGGACTGTGTGGCATTAAGGTTGCCGTCTTGGGCAATGGGTATCGCTGACGTGAGTGCAGCACCCAAAAGGATTGTCTGGAGAGAAATATACATGGTGAATTGGTAATAGTACTTGATGATATAGTGTGTTTAGTGAGAAGTATGTGGTTTGTTGGATGAGAAGGAGGAGCCACTCGTGATAAACTTAATGCTCTGCCCGGGAGACTGCACACAGATTTATATCCATGAGTATTATGGCACTTGTCCTAGCTTGGAATCTTGTTGATGAACATGTGAAAGTATCCTCTTGACCTCTTCCTAATTTGTTTTATACTTATAGGTAAACATAAAGTAATTATACATTAGCTGTATTAATGTTCACTTATATAGTTTCACTTCTATTCCGTATACATCTAAGGATATATATAGCGCCTTTATATAGTAGTAAGTATTTAAAACTTAGCGCTTAGAAAGAATATAATACCGATAATAATAGTTATAATATAATAGGTGCTTATAGCCTTAGCCTTACGACGTACAGATAACCCTGGCTAAGGGGAATGTTCACTTATCTCTTCTGGATCCAGTCTTGGGATAGCCGCATATCAACAAACTAGTTCTTGACTAAGTACTAGTAGGCACCTCTTTAAATATGTAGTGGTCCCCCGGTCTGAACTAGTGTACTTAAGTAACTGTCGACCATTACACCATATCTATTAGACTGAATGCCGCCACTCACAAGTGTTGTATTTCAAAGGATGATAAGGAATACTAATCAATCCTAGTTGTGCCCAGTCGGCTAGTGTCCCATTAATTAGCAATGCCTTTCGGCCCTGGATACATATGAAACCTCACAACTATTACACACACATACCTACTTTCCGACCTTTACCAATCCATTGATAATAATGCGTTCTAACACTCGAGGCTAGTATGACATCGTATCCCGGGGCACCTTCACGTCCAATACTAGAGCCGGGACTTCGTCTAACCTGCTTTCCTCCTGGATCGTTCAGCTCTAGCTCGGCTTGACTTCCGTCTAGATGTCCCTTCCAAGCTTCCCGTCGCTGAGACGTTGGAGAATCCCATGGGAATGGGAAAGGGTGCCGGTAGTGAACGTTCTACCTTCTTTCACAACAGCTGAAATGTTTCAGCCCAGCCCCCAGACTTGCCTTGTTTCGCTTTTATTCCACGTACGTCCGAAGACATATATCGTGGGACGCAATTTCGAAGCCATGGGAGAAGAATTTAAGGATAGATTTCCGTGACTTTGGAGCCTATAATATAGATTGATGGCATTGCGTAGTAAGACAACAATGGAGCCACCATAGAAGCAGTTCAAGACTTCAATGTTGACTTCCTATCTAGGTATTATGCCATACTTGGTAAGTCTACAGCCCAGATGGGACCTTCTTCCTCCTCGACCCCCGCCCGCATATCTTGCAAATAGTAAAGCAACGTATAGCCCTGCGATACCCAAGGAGCGAGTGGTTTCGTTTTTAATCCCCATACATGTAAAATGTACGTGGCGCCTTCATACCCAAAGAGCGAGTTCATGAGTTCGGGAAACCAGTATATATCCGCATGGGATTTCAGAATGTCTGGACGGGCGACATGGCTGCACGTGTGGCCAGTGCATGTGGCGCCAAGTATGAGACAGAATAAATAAAGCATTGTAAGACTCTAACATCCAGAACCGATTCTCGTGTCTACTCGCGACCCTATGCATCGTATTAATAAAAAAGAAGGCCATAGAACACCCATCACAAGGTCTAGACTAAATGTTAAAGTGCGGTGAAGACACCTATGTTCACTACATGTCCCATATTACGTGTTTGTCTCAAAAACATGTGGAGGAAATCAGAAGTTTCAGCTAGGGTGAAACTAAATGGTAAGACAATGCTAATATTTGTTTTTAGTAATATAATACCTTCTATTTATAAGGGGTCTAACTATAAACACGAAAATATGCCCGATGTAGCAGGATGCAGTACCGATAAAGAAGTAAAACTCTATTATAAGTATAAATAATTATGTATTAAAAGTTTATATAAAACTTTAAATTTATTTTAACTAAGGTTTATAAGCCCGATTGCCTCACCTTGCACCTAGGCAGTCGCCGTGCCGGTGATGCCAGCGAAGGGAGAAAAGATTGAGGCCTTCAAGGTACTTTGCCGAGAGAGGGACACATGAATTTAAAGTTTAGACCCCCACTCCCAGCTTAGCAGATGGTATGGACAAAACTGGTATGACTATCCTCAAGTGCTGACCAACATTGAAGGATAAGTGGGCCTACCCCGTCGCGATTGACGATCTTGTCCCGCTACATACCTACTTCAAGTGAGATATATATCTCAGATGAGCTTACCTCATGTCAGCCTCTTCTCGGGTTGATCCATGCGGTCAGTTCCCGAGGACACGATGCATGTGGGGCCGTATGAGGAGGTAAAACGGAGGTGCGGTCGCAAGTCCCTTTTCAGCACGTCTCTTTCCATCTCGCAACGGGGAACACTGTGAATGCGGTGCGCCAAGAGGCTCTATGTTCCTAGGTGGGCACCCTGTCATCTTCTGAATTGGCCTCCCCGATCTAGATCTAGTGTATTATATTCCCACGAAACAAATTGCGGGACTTGCATGCACGTCCGGCAGCCATGTGGCATCTGCCGATGTAAGGGTTCTTCAACCTTGGACTCTTCTGTAGTGTAGAATGGGATTTCGGATCCCAAACTCCACCCCGGTCCCACAGAATTCTCACATACCGGCAGGGAATACCTTCGCCTATCGTCCCGTGGTAGCTCCTCATTGGTCTATTGTACGACAGCTGCATTAGCCTCCTCCACAGTACTCCACAACAAGTACGATGTAAGGATTATTTCTGAAATGACTCAGCAGCCACCATCAGCACTGTTGCTGTCCATCTCGACTCCCTTCCAAGGTTCTTTTGCAACATGACGAGAGGTACAATTCGACTTACTTAACCGACTGGGATCCTCAAGTGCTTATAATGGCACGATGGTACAATTGGAGTGTTGGACGCTCTCCATTCTTAGAGGTGAATCACCATGTCAAACCTACAATTCGAAGCACGCCCGCAGTCAAAGCCAAAACGCGTTTTCCATGCGAAAGTCCGGACAGGCTGTCTCACTTGTAAGAGGTATTATGCCATTCTGGACACAATTTAAAGGAAGCATTGGGTCTACTGACACTGCAAAGACGCCGTGTACGATGTGACGAACGCAGGCCACACTGCAAGGGGTGCACGAGATTGGGCCACACTTGCGAATATGCGCCGCGTCAAGTCCTAATACCTAATAAGCGCAAGGAGCTGCAGCCGGCGCTTCTACCCGCCGCCCCTGTCATCAATACCATCTGGACCGAGGCCGACATCCTCCGGTCCGCCTATTACCACACTTTCCAACGCCACGACCCGGTTGGCCTTTCTACTTCCGATGCAATCGCTCAAGTGGTGCCAACTGAAGGCTTGAGCGATGATGTCTTTCACTATATATGCATGAGCTTGGGTGCACTCTCGCTCTCACCAGTGGCTCGGTCTCGGGCGCCTTGTGCCAGCGATCAATCTGCGATCGCCCTGGCATCGTCCTCTCCGTACGACGTACACCACGCCAAGGCCATTCGGCATTACACTACTGCCTTGGCACTCCTCCGAATGCGTCTTGGGACCGAGACCGCGACCTTGTCACCCCGGACTTTGCTCCTCAGTATGTCTGCCATGGCATACTTCGAGATAATGCAGGGCAACGTTATAGCTGGCTGCCACCTACAGCTTACCTGTTTTGCGGTCCTCGGTGATGCCATCATCCCCCAAGCGCAGAACAGTAACACCCAAAAATTCGGCCTCCGAGCCCATTACAAGGGAGATTTGGCAATCGAAGAAATGGAAGCGCTGCATCTCCGGCTGGCAGCCATGTGTCTTCTGGGATCACCTGATGAGTTCGTACGAACAGACCGAAGAACGTTACAAATACCGCGGCCCTCACTTGGGGGGTTGCCCCAGCCTGATGATTCCATGGAAATGTTCCGGACGTCCTGGAATACCTTCGCCCAAGGGGTTGAGTCTTGGAGGCTAGCTTGCTACTGGGCTATTTGCCTTAACGGGACATCTGCCAATTTGGCAAATTTTCTTGATGACCAGCGCATCCTCGTGAAGGGCCTCCAAGCATGGGAGAAAATTATTGAGTCCAGGATCAGACTCAACCGCTGTGTTTCATTTGATCATGGCCATCTCCAAGCACTGAAGTTGCTCCTCATTTATGTGAGGTCGATGCAGTTAATCCTAGCCCCGGAAGATGAGGACACCCAAAAAGTCGAATCCCTCCATGCAACAGACATGGCACAACTCGCCGAGCTGCCTGTTAGAACAATGTCCCGGTTTATTGGGGGCTTTTTCTTTGGTTCTTGGAACGACTTCAGCATCGACTGTCGACTACTACCCATGATCA